GACATTTGTAATGTCGCCAAATCCAATTCATCCTGGTCACTTTCACGCAGACTAAACAGCACACGAGATGCCAACATACTGTGGAGGACAACTTGTGGTCTGCCACAACGCATCAGTGAATTTATTATACCACGTTAAACGAATTGCCACGCACAAGTCCATCATCTCGCTATATGATTCCTAGCCCAAATTAACAAAATTTGTCAAATGAGCGCATACAATAAGCAACTTACTGGCACCGCAGACGTGATCATTATATTGACCACAGAAACGACTGCAAGAAGCGCTTCAACACGGGACATGTTAAATTGAAAAATGGTCACCGCACAGATTGTAGCAGTCATATACCGCACTCCGCCCTGGAAGATGGCTCTCACTAGACGACCGTTGCAATCTCTGTAGTCTTTATATCTCTTAAACACCGTTAAAGACAACAGCACTAGGTGAATGGAAACGAAAAGTTGCGCTGCAATGGAACGGCAACGAGATATCCTTACATAGTTCGTAGGTCACGAGAAAGCCATATTGAATGGCACTGCCCCGATTCGTTTCAAAATTGCAGCTGCTTGTGGGGGGAGCTTGAAAAGCACATTTGTCGTCTGCCACAGGGAAAGAAAAAATAATGCAAACCCACCTGAAGGGTTTACGGGCACGTCTGTTGGGCCACCGACAAAATCTGTGAGACCGACACCACACGCAATGCAAATCTACATTGCGATATCAACAGACGATGAGTGTGAGCATGCATGACCAGACCAACGCACTGCTGCCAAGACCAGTAACACTGCCAAAAGCTTCTTGCTCTGTTTCCAGAACGCATATGTACGAATGATCAGAAGACCTATGAGAGATGGATATGAGGCCCAGAAGACACTGCAAGAATGGAGCGAACCTTCAGCAGCTACGATACTGATGATATGAATTGCTGTAGTGAAATCAGTGACAAGACGCTGACTATTCAGGATATCGATCACCATTTGAAGCCCTGCCGAAGGGCGGGCACTGTATTCGTCGTCCTTCAGTTCATACAACAACCACATAAACAAGACGCACTAACATTCTCGTTCGCTCGTGTAGCAAGGACAGCTAGTCACTCGTCAATGTCATGCACCAGGAGATACGGATCGTTGCTCACCGTATGAAGTCATGGCAGCTGCTACAAAAGCCATGTAGCGTGAGATTACAAAAAGAACACGAGCGACATTCCAGCGCCTGTTCCATGTCCATTGAATCTTGTAACATTCGTCAAGAGATGTTCGAACTCGACAAAGAAATGCTCACTTCAGGTTTGAGGGTTAAGAAATAGTCAAAAATCTACGAAGCATAAGAGGGGACATCGTCCATGGCTCGTAGACCTACCAAAAGTCCCAGACCGGCCACTGCAAATATTCAGGATGAGAATGGTGTAAACTCCTGCATGAAGTCCACGTACCATTGCAATACTAGAGTAGTTTCAGTCAACAAACTTCATCTGGAAAATATATTGGGGAATTCTTACCTTCGCCGTCTGGATTCCTACATTCTCTATGGGCGCGACCATTGCACGCTCGTACTAGATAACGTTCCAAAACTCGCTCTTATATATTTCCAAGATCTGGATTTGCATGATTGCATCGATTTCGGAACTGTGCATTCGCTGTGTCACCGTGCGAGATCAAATTAGACTGCACATGGTGATTCAGTCAAAACCAGTAGCAGGTCCTATCTGTGTCGCGAAACTGGTGGCGAAGGATTTCCAACGTAGCAAATGCAGAGTACTGGGATTACCGCATAAGCAGTTGCTCGCTGGCAAACGGGTAGATCTGAAACTCAGGGAAGAAAACCATGCCATTCGTGTCGAAATGAATATGTTATGCTCCACTCCTTAGCGGTTACAGTTTGATGCAAATGGAAGAACTGCAGCGCCCGTACACTGTGCGGAACAACTGCGAGCTGATTTCCCACACCAAATGCTAAGCATCATGCACTCTGCGCGTTTCAACTCATGTTTGATCATCATCTCAGCATGGACGCCTTCAAGTAAAATCAAGGTCAGTGGACGACAGAAAACAGTGCCACGAACAAGGAGATGGTAATCTTGCTTGCTGAAGACACTATATGCTGTTCGATCTCAGCGCTCAGAGGGATGATATCATCACATACCAATCGTATCTGATTCCATCCAAGAAGAGCATCTTGAACTGCCCGGTAGCGTCGGCGTGTTCCGAAACAGTTGAAGATATCAGAACGCACGTGCTTAGCCTCCAGATTGCTATAAAAAGATTGAGAAAACAACCATTCTGGTGGTCAATGAGCTATAATCCGTCACCCTCTCTGAAGGCTTCCTTGGACCTCGGTGCAAGCCATGTATGGATGATCTAGATGACAAGGGTCAAGTGTGAGTGTCCATATCGAGTAATTTCACGACCACCTTACATGTAGTATGTAGGTTGCAACGCACAAAATTAGACCACGAGAGTATAACCCATCGCCACGATCAACACGGCTTCTTTGCTGGTGTATGTGCTTGTTGGTGGAGATGATCACTGCGCCAATGTGCCACTAGTGTCTTGGCACAGTTATTCTCCGAACAGCACCGCACAGTCCATCATGCATCATGCACTTGCTCATCATTTGATTGTTGCATCGGTGGCCCAACGCGAAATTTGAGAACTTGCAAAAAAATTGAGGACAATTTCGGTAGTTGTCTCACAGCGATCCAGTGAGAGAGGCGGACGAAGGGTGCATACAGATTGGACAACGGACGAAATTATATATACACGGCGCACGCGTATAATCCGATGACTCAGAGTAGAAAATAACAAGTAGTAGTCTACACGTGTGTACTACGCGTTTCGCGTAGCTTAGTCATCATTCTATGTCTTTTCTTCTCCTTCGGAGGTCATTTTCGACAAGCATCCGATGCTCCTACAGGACCAAAAATATTCCTGAGGACATCGTCGCGGAGGCCCTCACGACACAGCCAACAAGACGCGGTCGTTTCGAGGATATTCAAAGCATCAAGAACATCAAGCCCGAAGCTGAACCCCAAATTGCCTCGACTCTGAAAGCTGTCGGCAAGCGCAAGCCACGGAAAGCTAACATACCACTCCCGGTCAACAGAATCGATCTTCCCCCGCGTTCAACATGGCGAAACTACTTTCCTACCAGCGGCATGGCATTCAAAAGTCGTATTTCCATCGCCAACCCCGAGACGGCAGCATTAGTTGCAGATTCATTTGTTCCTAGTGGTTCGAGGGATAAAGTTATTGTAGAAGCGTATCCCGGTGAGGATACCGATACTTAAACCTCATTCTTTTGGTGCTTACAGAGCCCATAAAGGTCCTGGTGCGTTAACTCGTGCTTTGATGCAGTTGCCGAAAGAACGGATCCGAAAAATCATCGTGCTTGAGGACGTAGAACAGTACCTCAACTTCCTGAATGTGGGAAATGAGCCTTACAGAGTTTGATCATGCTGATAGTCTTCAACAGCCGCTGCAGGAAGCGGACCCTAGAGTACAAGTTTTGCCAATGAACGGTTTCTCGTGGGATACGTATCATCAGCTAGATGTCCAAGGCTTCCTGGACGACGTGGAGAATATTCCATGGAATCAGTCAAATCCATATCTACACTTTATCTCGCACCTTCCTATGGATGTCCTGGGCGAGCAGCTCTTAGCACAACTATTACGCTGCGCACCAGAACAATCCTGGCTGTTCAAATACGGTCGCATTTCAATGAGTTATCTAATGCACGACTGGGTATGGGATGTAGGTGATCTTATTACACAGACTAACTATCCTTATCTGACACAAGTAATAGCGTATTTCCGCATCTCCTGAGCATCAGGCTCGGTGCAAGCTGAGCGTCATCGCACAAGCCGTTTCTGAGTTTAATCACACCATTGACCCACAGTTGTTGGTACCATATAATAGCCATTTCTACCCTGATGCTACGAACCCTGCATATTCTTTAAAGACTGAAAACAGGCGCAGAGGTACACCATTCATAGCGGGTACATTCAGACCATTAGAGCATCAGGTACTCGCCAGTTTTACTGCATATTTAAATCACTGACGTCATGTGCAGATCATTCAGCCAGGCATGCTGGACAAATGGGATTACTGCCTACGGAAACTCTTTGTCCTGAAGTCGACCCCTCTCAAGGACGCTGTTGGGTATGATCAGAGTTCACTTTGAATCGTGAAAAAAAATCATCGACCTTCCTTTAGTCATCTAGCACCTGGGTCAGATGCTTTGAAGTCCTACCTCGCGGGTGATGACGTTCCACCTGATCAGAGGACTGACATGATGAAAAGCATCAGGAAAATGAGTGTAGAGGACTGGGCTGCTGTCGTTGGCGCCTTCGACCGGTGGCCTTTTGCACCTGAGGTAGATTCCTGTATTTTCACCTTGGCACTGGCTAACATGTAATTTCACTGCAGGAACTCTTGATCACGGATTCTTTCAGCAGAGACGACCGTATATAGCGTTGAGTATGATGTTGCTCTTCTCCTGGATACATCAGTCGACGAGGGGTCATGCTGGCGGAACTGTGTATCTTATTCCTAAGAACCCGTCATGTGCCACGGTGCGCAGATATCCTTACAGCCCTCCCATGTATGCCAGACGTTCTCCTTACTCTTTCCATGTCACAGAAGGAGCCAATCTGGCAATTCGATATATTTGCCCTTCATGCATGTTCATACCGCACCTGTCGACACAATAGTAGTATGTATCATTGACTGGATGACAAGCGAATGTCTACATCTCAACAAAAATCTACCTTTGTGACCCGTGGTGGATTTGTTGGGACAGATGGTTTATCAACCAGAGTGACTAAACTTGGGTCGAGCACTGCAAGTTAAAACCTTCAAAGCAGGATTATGGACGTTGAAGCTTAAGCTTAAAGTTTGAATCCGACAGCACTGCGTACTTACAAGCTAATACACATATCACAAGGCAAAAAGACGTGCATAAGCCAAGACCGAAATATTCATAATGAGGTGCGGACAATAACCTATTTCTTCTCCTCTGATAGAGCCCACATATAGTAAACACCTAGACTTCGATATGGCACCCAAGATGCGGTTAAATCTTCCATTTCTTTCGGAGTAAGGAACGCTCCTCTTCGGATAGCCTCGATGAGAAATTGTCCACATGAGAAAAATCCAGGTGACATACTTTATCTTCTTTCCTTCTAGCCTTGATTTCAAATTCGCGACGCTCAGACCTTCGGGAAGGGGTTCTGTGTTCATCGCATCTGCCTCGAGAGTCTTCTCAATCGAGGGAGTGAACGGTTCAGGAAACGCAGAAATCGATTCAATTGAAGCGGGAGCCTTCAATTGTGATTCAGGTGATGTCGGTAACACCTCATTGTCTAGTTCTACATCTCCTGTCAGTTGAGAACTAGGGGTTGTTTTCGGTGCAGGCGTTGCAGGCGGTGGTCCCATCGCGCTAGTACTTGCCGGTTTTGTTTTATCGTCATTGGGTTTGCTACCGCTCAGTTTATGCGGTGAAAGTGTAAATGTGTGCTTAGACGAATGACGGGAGAGAAACCAGCGCAACATTCCCCGCTGCATACCGAGGTCACCCACTGGGAGAATGTTTGGACGACGGAGGGAGAAGATTGCGAACATGTCAACTGCGCTAGAATTATGAGATATTCTCGAATAAAAAGCAACATGATTCTCACCAGTCCACTTGGTGACAAGAAGCGAGATGTTAATGAAGCACAAATATTATGATTCAAACTACATACCCGTCCGATCCCTCGCACTTCTATAAGCATTTCAGCAAGGCTTTCATCATCTGCAGCAAGCAGTTTTTTTGTTGAAAGCCTTTCATCTGCAAATCGCGCAGCAAGGTCTTGTACTGGCAGGATATTATAACTTAGACTCAGTGGATGGGAATTTCCAGTGAAATCGACAATGACACTGACCGTACTCCGCTTTGCGTGTACTGAGACCAGCGGACTTGAGTGTTATGATATCCGTATTGGCAACTTGATAAGGGGTAGGGAAGAAAGATGTTGGAGATCTTGATGCACTTCGTAATGACACCATTAACACCACGCAATGACTAATGCAGGCAGGCATGCTTTGGCATATATTTAGACTCACGAATAATCTGCTACTTTTTCGGGTAATGACGGGTCATACAACCGAGTAAACCTGTGGGTGATCGATCGCGCTGCCAGCCATGAAATTTGTTGGGCACTGTAAAGTGTACACTCAATTTAGTGTCCTCACTTATGCAGGAGATATTTCTCACAGAATTGATTCTACAAGCGCCCTATAGATACATTAGCATTCTATGCTATTCAGTCAAAAGTACCACGCTCACCGGAATGGATGGACCTGTTCAAGGAACTCGAAAGGCTTACATTTGAGCTTTGTGAATATATCCTCAAAGCGGTGGTCAGCGCGAATGAGATGCGCTTTAGCCTCCTCAAACGAGAATGTTAACACTGCGGGAACCAAGTCCTCGGACTCGTTCTGCAAGGGAGGCGGCGGAGGCAGTATGAATCCATCCGGTGTGAGCAATGTCATAGCACTTTTATCGGATTCAGAAGACTTTGTTTTCTTGGTGCGAGGCGTCTTCTTGGCTGCTGGGGGTTCTTCAGCGGCTTTTCGCTTGCTGGACTTGCCCACCGCAGATGGTGATACCGCTGTTGTTGTCTTGTTGCTTCCTCCCGCTGGCGTTGACGCAACTGACCGAGTAGCTGACCGTGTTACAGGCATGATAAATCTAAGCCTAGATCGTGTATAAAATCCAAGTTCAGAGAACGCAAATCTCATGCACACAATTGCAAGAGCCTGGTTAGTCACAAAGTTTCATTGAACCTTCTAATAAGCGAATACGTGACTCAGCGCGTCGCGTCATTACGGGTGACCGGACCCTGACCTATGTGTTTCCTTTTCAGGCATGATCAGGATCAGATGCCGGCACAGCTGGCAGGCCCCGCAGTCTTCTAGGAGCGCTGGCTCTCTCATCCATACCAACCCATAACTTTTCACTGAACAATGCCGAGTGCGTACACAAGTTTAATGAACGGCCATATTGATGCTTATACCTATCATCAGAATTCATTGTCTCTCTTCAGTCTGGCGCCGACTACGAGGCTACCACGCGAGAAATCAAGAAGCAAGGTAGGCTTCTCAAGTCATCATACCATCTTCATACCTTTGAAAAACACTCGACAGGTGGATCTATCGTCGATGACTCGATGAAAATTATTGGAGTTTGTTGATTGGGCACTAGATTTCCCCAGTGGCTGACACACTTCTCTCGTGTAGATGATCACTGTCCAGATGTCTGACGAAGGCGCTTCGTCACTGAAATCACTCAGTAGCGATATAATCTCAGTCGGTGCGTGTTGTCTGCTTTAATCACAGGACAGGACAGTGCTCACTGTTTCTCTGTTTCTTTCAGAACCTGACCAAGAAGTTACAATCCAGGCAGCCTGATAGCATAGCATTGAATATGCGAGCATGGAGCAGGACACTGGGATACGGGTGGTGATAGTTTGTTGTAGGATATGAATGAGTGGAGACAGACCTGTACAAGTCATTATTTGAGCATGTGGAACAACTACTAGAATGATTGCAGCGGAGAGATGTGATCTGATAAGTTTCCCTGAATGATATAAGCGACTTCTCGAAGTCCCTTAATGATAGCCCTGAGCCAGTGAGGCATTACTTTGTAAAATAAATTGGATGGTAAAATAAGTTCTGCCGTGACGAGGGATGATGAAACGAATGACAAATAGGTACGTAGTTAACGAGTGTGATGTGTAGAAGGGTATAGTAAGTCCAGACGATTATCGGTCGGAAATAGGAAAGTAGGCGGAAAGCGAGTAACTTCAAAGACAGCAGGAAAATCGTGACAGGTCGTAACGAGAAAGACGGCAAAAATGACTAAAGAGCAATGGAATCGGCATCCCTGGGGACATCCGCAGAAGGCTTGTGAACTTGGAGGTCAATGGAAGTTGTACCTTCGTTCGATGCAGGGGAGCTGACTTTGAGCTCTGGGAGAACAGGAGGGTCACTCGATATCCCGTGTCGTGCCCCTTCCTCGCCAGTTTCGCTGGAGTACGCGGACGAGGCGCGCGGCACATCAACGGAAGGCTTAGGCGTAGCAGCAACTGTAGTAGGCCTCGACGCAGTGGGCGCAAGGTTTGCCCCTGGGCCAACTACGATTGTTGCAGGAGGCGGGTCAGGGAAATCCCATGGTCGAGGAACTAGCGCTGCTGGCATGATCCTGATACACATTTAGTAATCAGGTTTGTGCTAGATATTAAAAACCTACCAGGTAGCACAGCAGACAACTCCCTTACCCTTATCAGCTGCCTGTATCATATGCCACTCGGTCTGCACGAACTGAGAGATATAGCGAACGAACGGCAATACCTCACGGACGCCGGGGCTGACAATCGACAGTGCCGTCAACAAATTGAGCAAGGTAGTACCTGGGGAGGCGGCTGCACCGAGGCGCTCAATCGTGGGAGGCGGCATACAGACTTCAAATCCCCACCAGTCTAAACACAATCAATTAGAATTTGAATGATACCCTGTGAAATGAAAATACGTACACGTCAAAACAGAGAGGCGATCTGTGGGCACAACAACGCCCTTGTGATCTGGCAAAATTGCCTTGCTCGTTGCAAAACCAAACGCAAGTAACTGCGGGGTTATTTGCTGGAGACCATCAATGATAGTTTCTGCGCTAGGAACGGCACCTGCCAACAGTCCCGGCGATGATGCTGGCGCACCAAAACCCATGTCCGGGGCAGTAATAAGGCTGACGAGGTGCATGTTAGACAACGCGTCAGATAATGCAGTCGTTGTTGCCGTAGCAACCGATCCAAGCTGTACAAAGTGCTGCTCGTGGACTTCCTTGTCGGTCGCGTCAAGACACACTGCATGAATTGGCCCAGTATTAGCAGATCCTGTATCTGTTGATGATGCAGACATTGTGTGCAGGTGGTCCATAATCTTTCTGGCGGATTTTGGCTCGAGGAGCTGGGCTTTGACACGCGCTAGGTCAGATTTAGAGAGTGGTTTCGACCTCTTTGCTCTGCCGTCCACCATTTCATGATCTCCCACGATGACGGAGCGAACCATGGTTGCGGTGTCCCTGGCACGCCTATCAGAGGCCTTGGACTGCAGTGCACGAACCGTGAATGTCCTGCCAACACGTGATTTCTTCTCTTTGTCGTGAGCTTTGGATTGCTGTATGTGAATAGGTTCGGAGTGCTGGGAAGGCTTGCGCTCTGGCTGAGGAAGTTTCGACTCGGAGCGCAAGAAGGAAAATGAACGGAAGGAGAAACGACGAAAGTCCTTCCCGGTTTTAGCGTCGGGATAAGGATTTGTACTCGGTACCCCCAGGGTCGCATTGCCTACGGTTTCAGCACCAGGACCACGCCCCAGGGTAGGAGGTACTAAAAGTGACTGCTCAGATGACTGTGGCATGGTCATAGACGTGGGCTGCACAGGCGTGAGCGACCGGCTGGCTGCTTGAGGAGAACCCATATTCGAGGGTGCTCCATAGGCATCTGTGTGTGAGGATTTAGAAGGAGCTGAATGCAACGAAGAAGACGAGTTCGCTGAATGAATTGAGGAAACATCTGCGGCAGGAGATGCGTCTGGCACCGGATCCGTAGGGGGACCTTCAAGAGCTGCCTTCTCGACCTTAGCTGACTCTGCAGCGGTCGTGACCGAAACATGAACACCAGCGGACTTGAGGAAGGTCAACATCGGAATGAACTAACGCAGCAAGAGAAGGGGGAAGAGGGAGAAAAAAAACTCAATGAAAACCCGAGCTGAGAGTAAGAGCGGGACCCTAGGTCACGTAACTTAAGTAGCTGAACGGAGCATGGCCAAGCTTCTGCGTGAGAACGGGGGTGAGGCTTGAATTACCTTGCTCGCTCAGAATAGGGCTCAATGACTGCATACCGGAAGGCACTCGGCCAGCCTGCTTGCTGTTGAAGCGGTGATTGGCATGACAAGCTTGAGAGAAGTCTATTGCGGGGGAAGTTCTCAGGATGAACGCATTCCCATGCATGGCCACAACAAGAACAACAGGATCGACAGACGAGTAGCGCGTAAATGGAAACTCGACCTCTCAAAAGGGGGTCAACATCTAATACCTAACTACTAGTACTTATGATGATACATTGATGATCCGCCCCTGCACAGTGCCACAGGAAACCATCAAACTGCCTAACTTTAAAATGCATACCACCACCCGACATCGACACCAGTGGGACAGCCAGCCTCTCGTTTAATCCATGCGATGTTTGGTTAAAGGAACTCCCGACCCAGAAATGGGTTTGATAAGGATGGTGGTGCAGTTGTGACCCTGATACGGCTCGAACGAGACTCGGTCACTCGGACAACAATGGTCTAGGCCTAGGGTAAGATCTACCCGCTCAACTTCAAACGGACGACAAATTTGCACCGTGATTGAGAACTGCTGGCGGCAACATCTCTGAATGAAATATAACTTATTGTAAGCCCGATTACCGACATATGCATAAACACCTGGCATGAGACATACTTAAAATTTCCCAAACCTGCACAGGTTTCTTTTCCAGTACGGGGTGCTGTACCGAACAGCCTTCTCGGTACTTATTGATTTGAGATTCAACGTCAACATGATTGTTGTACTAAAGTAACGATAATATGAAGAGGGCCTACTGGATATGGGACCGGGTTAAAAACCCTAGAGACAGCAATGACAAGATACCAGTCAGTCTTCGTTGATATCTCCAGAATATTGAGATTCGGAAGACCGCATTCTATGCTGTAGTTGGTGGGGCGTGGCTACCTTGTTTGACACCCTGAGAGTGCGAGTGATTTTGAGTCTTGACACTCCAAGTCAACACCTCCCGTGACATTTTTTCGACTGTCATGTCGAATGTGCTGTACAGTGTCCATTTCGTCACTCCAAATGACTTGGAGAAGTGCGCTTGACTTTGTATTCAAGTAACAGGCGAAGTCGTTCGGTACCTAGTGACAAGTGAGCAATGAACAAATTTTTATTGGCTGCCAAGGGTAAGTATATCTATTTGCTGAAGTAAGCATTCCGACCGTGGGAGCCAAATTCACTGCTGTCGCTGTTCGTTCCGCATCGTCGGAGCCAGCATAGAGCCCATTTTCTCCTTTGACCGTCATGTCGCTCGGCATTTTAAGAGCTCCAGGTGAATATATGTGTGCTTCCATAACTAAACGTAATTCATGAGTCTCTTATGCAGTTATCAGTGCCTATAAGGCAGCAGCACTCAGACCCGCTCTCGCGGTTTATGGTATGTTCCATCAATCAATTCCTCACGAGCCCTTTCTTTAGCCTTTTCTATAAAGCTGCTCGCTCCGTGCACACGTCGAAGTCCGCGCGAGGGCCCGAAACTACACCCACTTCGGTCTCCTCTGCTTCTGAGCCGATCACCACATTAGCCATGCACGGCTCAAATCAACTTAGCCTTGAGCAACCCCAGAATAAGGCTGGTGAGTATACCTCATGCACTTCCCGCTGAGTAGGCTTAATTGGATTTTAGAATACGTCCTATCAACATTAGACAAAGTTGTCAACTGGGCACGCCAGGGTTCGATATGGCCCATGACTTTCGGTCTTGCATGTTGTGCTGTCGAAATGATGCACATGGCTGCTGCTCGCTATGACCAAGATCGTCTCGGTGTCGTTTTCCGTGCCTCTCCGCGTCAATCTGATGTTATGATTGTCGCGGGTACGCTCACAAACAAAATGGCTCCCGCACTTCGTAAAGTCTATGACCAAATGCCCGAGCCAAGATGGGTTGTGTCCATGGGATCTTGCGCAAATGGCGGTGGCTACTACCACTACTCATACGCTGTTGTTCGTGGCTGTGATCGTAAGCATTCTTTCATTCTGGTCCAACGGCGGCCCAGTTAACATCTGACTCATAGGGATTGTACCCGTGGATATCTATGTCCCTGGGTGCCCACCAACTGCTGAAGCATTACTTTATGGTATGTTGCAACTTCAGCGTAAAATGAGAAGAAACAGGAAGAGTGTGCTTTGGTGAATTGTACTCTTATTTGTCAAGCATTATGCTAATGGCTGCATTCCAGGTACCGCAAATGATCTGCACGAGCCTGGCTTGGCGACAGCGTACATAAACTAGCATTTCCGTTGACATGTTTCGTATATCACTTACGGCTGGCGTGCATCATTTCCTTTCCTTGTCCACATTCTTGTGAAGGAGACCCAGTAATATGCAGGTCCCATGTGTCACCTCCAGCGCAGTTCACTTCGTGCAAGGAAGTCAGAGTATCAACTCGTGATAAACGTAAGCCAAAGTACCGCGCTTTGTTTTTCCCTTTCTGGAGCGAGAAATACCATCTCTTCATCACCCGGGAAGAATTTGAGCACGTCGTTCAGTTTCTATTTCGGATGCAGGTTATATCGGTCATACTCCTCAGGGGCGACATCCACGACTGTGATATTTGCATGGGGTGCACAACTGCGATCAAGCCTTTGCGTGTGCGCAAGTGCGCAACTGTGCAACTGTGGTTGATCTACTCACTCCATCCCACCTCACCTCATTGGCTGCCTGATGCATCCTGGTTGGGAAACGGCGCCACTGTGACGGTGTCATGGCCAACACGAAGTGCTCCTCACCCCTTAATAAATGTGACTTCTCTCGCCTGCATAATTGAAAAGGCGCGCCGCACTATGCTAGCAGCATGCTACGATTGCAAATTGTTAGCATTATGTGTTTAAACGTTTACTTATCGCACTCAGCCCGTCAGATAACAGATCTCCCACCCCATTATCAGGCGCTCGTCAGCAAGTTTTTCCCTATCGATCAATACATCATCGATCGAAATTGATAGGCTCAGATCAGTGATCAGCAGGTGCTACTGGTGGGTGGTATCCGCAGCCTAAATTATGTGGGTGTATTCTCAAACCCGTGCTAACTTACCTCCATTAGTGACTATCATATATCTGCCGCAGCATGCACCTTTTGCACACTACAACCAAAAAACTAGAGGAATTTGTAAATCCTCCAGACTATGCGATCCTCTCGCATCGGTGGCGCGAGGAAGAAGTCCTATTCGCAGATATCCATCAGGAGCATGCGAAAGGCATGAAAGGCTATGCCAAAGTAGAGGGATGCTGTGAACAGGCGCGGCGTGATGGGTATCAGTACGTCTGGATTGATACCTGCTGCATCGACAAAAACAGCAGCGCAGCGCTTGCAGAAGCGATCAACTCCATGTTTGCGTGGTATGAAGATGCCCAGGTGTGCTACGTCTACCTAGACGATGTTACCGACAACGGGGACCTGGACACTGAGTCCGCATTTGCGAAAAGCGAGTGGTTCACCAGGGGATGGACTTTGCAAGAGCTCATCGCGCCCACGAGCTTATTCTTCTTCGACAGCCGGTGGAGGGAGATTGGGAGTAAGAGCAGCTTAGCTGGGCTTCTCTCGTCCATCACGAGAGTGCATGCCAACGTATTGACTCGCGTAAACGCCGGTTCAGACAAGTTGGTCGCGACTAGAGAATCCTTCAGCGTCGCAACCAAGATGTCGTGGGCTGCTGGGAGGAAGACAACTAGACCAGAAGATAGAGCCTACTCCCTCATGGGAATATTCAAGGTCCACATGCCTGTCATCTACGGAGAGGGGGAGAAAAAAGCTTTCTTTAGACTGCAACTGGAGATCATTCGTACTTCGCATGACCAGAGCATTTTTGCATGGTGTAGTCCTGGCGTAGGTGGTTACAAAACAGGGACTTGGCCCTTCGCCCCATACCCTGATTACTTTGCCAAGTCAGGCAATATTGAAGACGTGCCCTCCAACCAATGGATACGTTACAGTCTAAAATTCATCAGCCTAGATGCCCCCAGGCTTGACTTTGCCGCCACCAACGACGGCTTGTATATAAGCCTTCCCTTACGACCTCTCGTTGATGAAACGGACGAGTTCATTGCTCTCCTGAGCTGTCGACGTCGCGTAAATGACGGAGAGTACCACAACATCGGCATTCGATTACGGCGCTCTGTGGGCAATGCCGAACGTTACGAAAGGATAGATTATCACACCCTCGAAGACATCGTCGACACTTGCAAGGAATTCAAAGTCAAACGAATACACATTTCGTTCCCGTTACCATCGGATTCAATTCATGATATATCATTCTTTAACACCTCAACGTCGCTCTTCATTCGACACGTTGGGGTAGAAGAGCACGGTTTCTCCGTGATCAATATGGAGACGGCTCCCTCATGTAACCTCCAGATGCAAGATAGTAGTTTTGTCCTGCTGACGAGAAGACCGACACCATCACCACAACCCCCAAAAGAAGATCTCAAATGTCCACATCATCTACCCTGGACTGCGGATTCTTCATGGTTAGCGTCGTTCACCTACCACAACTCAACGACGAAAGAACAGTTCGTCGTTACTATGGGGGTATGTTGGGTACGAGATGGGGGCCCGTGGCTCCGAATCACCTCAGAGAAGCCTCCTGCTAACCAACTCAGTCGGCTCAAGATCGACTGGACTTCTTACCTGCTCAAAGCAGGCAAGAAAGTGACAGCGTCCGTGAAGAACGGTGGCCATGCTTCTGCCGGAAAGAAGCGCTCGATAATGTTTGACCGGTATTCAGTCAACATCACAGTCTATGGTGATCTATGACTCGAAACCGGGGGGAGGTTTGGAATGGTCGGTAAGATACAGTCACTCGTGCGAATCTCAGCACTGGTAACGAACGGGTGATGGGTTGTGAAGCGGTGCATCTAAGATCACCCTTGAGGGTGGTTTTTAGTATGCGGGTCCTTAGACCTCATGTGCTCGCGTAGAAGATTCTTATGGATTGCTACGTACTTATAGTTAGGAGGCTAGTAGTTGTATGTGATCCGATTAGCCCAAACGTGGTAAGCACCACAGTAGCAGTGGTATTAGGCAGCTCGTTACCAGGAGCGAAGTTAGCTTCAGATGAAAATTTCGATTTGCGACGAAGCTTGCTGCTCGCAAGGCGAAATGCAACAAATCATTTCTTTGATGTGAAATTGCAAAATCTGTCGGTCGATACGACTATACCAGTTGGTCTGGATATTCACCAGTATAAAGTAAAACACTGCAAAATTACAGATTGAGTATGGTGTCCTTCATACGAGAACACAGGCTACACAGCGCAGGGGAAATATATTTCTATCGTGCGTGGTGTAATGGGGTGATAGAGGGAAAAACGTCTCAGGAATTAAACTGTGATGCACAGCCGTTAGCTTACGGAGAGGCGCACAGCGAGCAAGACACGAACAGCGGTCAGATACGATTCGGCTACCGTGCGTGCGCGCGCATTGAGGCTGAGTTTCATCTCGCTTATTTCCCTGTCTACTTCCTCCATAAATCTAGTTACCGGGGATGAGAGAACGGTGTAGAAGCATTCGGATGCCACGCACTGTATGATGAAATCGACGACCTTGTGTTTCAACATGGTCTCTGAATGGACATTCGTAATAAGGAACGATATGTCGTATCCCTGTGCAAGAATTAGAGCACGATGACCGCTCGTGTTCGAGCAGTTCACTCACGAGGACGGGCTTCCTGCGCAGCACTACAAAACTCTCCGCTCTCTGCATCAAGAATCGCGTGAACTTGTGACATAAGATACGCTCTATTTCATCAGCCTGCTTAATCTTAATACTCATGCGTATCGAGTTCACAGATGGCTCGATCAAGACGCGTTCGTTCTCATTGCGTGATATAGTCAGTGGGTTCAGGAGAACCTCCTTGGAGCCCCTGCAACCGATCGCCATGAGTACACGCCATGATGACACGAGACATACGGTTATACCTAACTTCTACTTCTGGTTTGTTGTGTCGTTCAACGACCTAGGCCATTGTGAGCTCGTAAATGTGTCAGACAGCATGTTATCATGATTACTTGTGACGAAAAGTTCTCGAGCGTCAGAGCCGCTGTTAAAGTTGACTTGACAGCTGAGAGATACGGCCTGAGCGTGTTCGACTACGGTCAAGGGTCTCGTCAGTAGGCATCGGCCATATATTCTGATAATCGACCTACCATTGGGTCTTAAAGCTTGAGAGAATCTAGAGAATGCGGAGTCTGAATCGATGTACAAGTACATAATGACCAATTCGGAAAGAGCGCGTCTTTTTCAGGAAACGCGTCCTGGTCAAAATTTTTGAGCTTTGTCTCGTCTTAAACACAACCACTACCACTAATGACTGCCGTCGCTGTTTGGCAAGTTTGCTTGCGTTTTAACCTTTGCTATATCTCATTTTTTTTGCAGGAGTATCTTGTTGACGCCAGGCCAAAAGGAGACAATCGTCCCTCAGGCAGACCTGCAGATCAAGAACGCCGCTCTTGGAGAAAAATTATCTGATGAGTCTGGCAGAACGACCGTCAAGTTAACCTACGTAAATCCTGCAAAATTTGATGACGAAGATGAACTCGACGAAGAGTCTCCAGAAGATGAGATCACCGCTGTTCTCTGTTCGCTAACTGCTGGCAAGGTCAGTGGCTTGACACGTCCTGCTTCATTTTAGTACGTGACTAACGTGTCATTTTTGCATAGATTGAGCAGTCAGCATGCGACCTCATCCTTGAGAGCGATGAGGAGTATACCTTTGAGCTCATTGGAAAAAAGTAAGAGTATTCAAGCTATTATTGGCCAATACAATTCATGCGTATCCCTCATTCAGCACCGTCTACCTCTATGGAAACTACATTGGTAAGCCTCAAGTTGCCTCGTACCTATCAGACCTCAATAATAAGTGTCGCAATATAGACCAGAATACAAACCAACCACCTTACGATTCTGACATGGACTCTGACATGAGTGACGAGGGGGCCTACAACCTGGATGATGTCAGCTCAGACGTTGAGGTACATCCTGATGAGCTTCAAGGTCTCGAGGATGATTCTGAGTGAGTGCACCACCGTCAGTCCTTCCAGGTCATATATTTAACTGTGCTAGTCGCTTCGAGGAATTGCCTGAGGACGAACCAAAGGCAGAAGACCCCAAGCCGACGAAACGTCCTCGTGATGACGCTATGGACACTGACGCGCAACCTGCTGAGAAGGTCTCCAAAAAAAAGAAAGCAAAGAAGCAGAAGGGTGAAGATGGGAAGGCAATCCCTGTTGCCGTTGAGGAAAAGGCAGCCGAGCCCAAGGGCGAGAAAGAAGAAGAGAAAAAAGCCGACAAAAAGGAGAAGAAAAAGCAAAAGGCTGCTGAGGAGAAGAAGGGTGGGGCCTCCAAGGAACTCGCTGGCGGGGTTAAGATTCGGGACGTAAAAATCGGCGATGGCAAGACCGCCAAGAATGGCGCCAAAGTTTCTATGCGTTACATCGGAAAATTGCAGAACGGAAAGATCTTTGATCAAAACACCAAGAGCAAACCCGTAAGCAGGCATTAGGTTTCTTACTTGTCGAGCACGTATTCACTGTGCTACAGTTCAGCTTCAAGCTTGGAGCAAGCGAGGTAATCAAAGGTTAGCTGCTCTGGTTCATGGCCTTGTCTTCATCATTAACGTCGTGTCAGGTTGGGACGTCGGAGTTGCTGGCATGCAGATTGGTGGGGAGCGTGAGATTATTGTACCACCAGCAATGGGTTATGGCGCACGGAAGATGTCTGACATCCCTGCCAACTCCACTCTGATATTTGGTGAGTAGTTCCGCTATGCGATGAAGGTCCGGTGACTGATTAAAACGTAGAGGTGAAATGTCTGGAGATCAAGTAAAACTGTTGCACATTCTAATACATGGTAGTATACTTGTGGTTGGTACCTGGTGACATCTGTTAACCGCGGTTATGACTTGCACTGCTTTGCGATTCACTGATCCGAACACAAACTCATCATTCTGCAGCACGACGGTATTGCCTCCCCAAGACCAACGCCAATTGGGAAACTGACTTGGAACTTCACCCGTCACCCTAAGCCCATGTCAGTGGCACCCACAAATGGGTTTGTACGATGGAGATAAAGAACGCAAATGCATATCCGCATTCTCCTGGCGGTTTCTGGTTCCGTCCCGCTGTATCAGGCACAACCCGAGGAGACCGGGCACCTGGGGCAACCGGGCGCAATCCCGGGTCGTGGGATACCGGTATGATATAATGTTACGAAATACATCGCCTACCGAGATGCGCTGGATAACCTCCGAAGTAGCACAGCTACGTTAATCTGCACAAAAAATACGCGAACACCGCAAGATCTGGACTCGCTAGGATGACGATCTTCAATGCTGCATATCGCACGTCCAAAGCCACAAATAGCCCAGACAATTGCCGATGCGCTTGAGCTCCAACGCTTCGGTTATAACTGACTCAATTTTGAAGCCCGACATGCTTCCTAGCCACCCTGGCTGAGAGGACTGGAATGACGACGCGGCTAGTGATTGAGGCCTACGGGTGTTGACGTGATTTGGAACGCTCATGCCGCATGCGCTTAATAGGTTGTGTTGAGATAGACATCAAACTAGCTTGCAGTTTCCCAAAGCGCTGTGTCTCCTGGAGTGGTACATGTGATCCGTGTCACTGGGAGATGTCGAGTGCGCAGAGATCTGCGACGTAAATATCTCGATCATGATCAGATGACCTGTTCCTCGGACTCCTCACAGTACTGTGCATAATTGGTGTACAGCACTGCATATTTATGTCTGCTGGGCGGGTAATGACACTGAACGCTGCGGACAGTCTGTACAAGCAATAATTCCTTGGACGATCGAGTTGTGTCGACGCAAGTGGCAGGAAGTTTTCGAATCACATGTTGGCGGTGGCAGAATTACAATTCCAGGGGGTGATATAATTAATGCAGAGACTGTTGTTTATAGAACGGTCTCACGGCGTGAGTGGAGGCTGCATAGAGGGCGTGTGGGCGATTACCAGAAACCACTCCTGCCAAGTCGTTCAGCGGACGGAAGCCGCGAGGCTTTGGGCGAACTGAAACCTTTTCAAACGCGGGATAGAGAAAGGGTTGGCGATAACAGTTACCGTCGTCACCGATCAGCGCCCGAATTTTCCTCTTTCATTACCACCGTCGAGTGATACAATTTGACATAAGCTTCGGGTAATCCTGCCGTTCAAGTGGTAATTTCTCAGCTGTGGCAGCAATCACGAAAGGGAGCAATTACTTTACTGTGACCCTCGCGATGGCCATGAGACTCCTGCGCACAACGCCGATATAGTGTTTGAAGAACGCCCGGAATATTAATGCTTCCGTGTGGTCAAACAACATGGGAGGCAAAATAATATTATGAGATGATAAATGGCATGTTTGTCGTACAGGAATCACCTTTGAAAGCGGGTAGCTGATCAGTGTCCGCCAGTAGTACAAGATTAGTTGGCTCTGGACTCCGAAGCAAACCATGTAGATCATCGCTGGAGCACATGATTGTTGTCAAGATCCCTTTTTTCAAAAATGAGGCTTGTTGAAGCGATGAGTGGTGACCAGGGTACGGAATTCTTGCCACATATTTGGAGATAGATTAGAATGCGATCAGGGTCGATATGGAATGTGTAGTGTCAGGATACCACCGGCGGTGGTTGGAATGGCAGAACCCCCAAAACTCATGCACCTGGCAGCCAAGGCCCAAGTTATTGGAGTGATACAATCGATGGCGGAAAGGACCTATGGGAAAGATCTCAGATAAGAAAGAAAAAAAGATGTCGACTGTCGGACTGGGCTCTGTTTTGTTGGCTAAATTCGAAAAAGTCCTTAAACTAGCCCAAAGAAACTCACACAATTTCACAGAAGGAGAAAGGAGACTGCCTGATCTTGCAACAGGTTACAGCATGTTGGACACGTTCCAATGCAGGCTAAGAATTCCGAGAAGATGGTTATCATACGTGCCGGATGAGCGACCTCGCACATGACTGGGCAACAGTGAAGATTCGAGATGATGATCGCGGAGTAAGCTATAACTTGATCAAAAATTGTAAGCACTCAAGTCTCAAACGTCACAAGCCTCGAGGTCCTTTGGACTCTCACCGTTTGTGATTCATTTGTTCATCAAATCGATTCATGATAACCTGATCGAATCCACTTCCCCGTGCTTCGACAAGTGGAGATGTCATTCCCCTGCGCAAGCCAGGCCACAATAGGCCACAATCAGCGGTCTATAAATTAGCCACAAGTTCGAGACAGAGTGAGCTGTACCCTCTTGCCCAACCTTACTGTTTCATCTTCCATATGTGTCTAGGATCTATACTTTGGATCCCTCCATCGACGAGTCCCTTCTTCGCTGTTACAAGATGGAACGATTAGTGTGGCCTCCCTCCCGCTGCGTCCGCACCCTCAGCCTTGGCCAAGGCCAGAACTCGGGAGACCCACCCTGCGTGTGTTACATGCACTTCTTGCGATGCATATATGTGCTCGTCCATGGTCAGGGGCGCTTCTTTCCCATCTGTACTGCAGGCATATGCCCCGTATACAAAGGATACTGCCCTAGTACATACCATGGGAATGGAAGATGCCCAGGACCATGGTACAGTGGATAGCAGCATCGTCACAGTGATCGTATCGGCCACGTGAACCATCCTAATGGGCTACGGACGCTCGCAGCACATCGTGCATGTATCAGTTGTGCTCCGCGTTATGGCGACGACAAGTTTTCCTACAACTAGTAAGACGAATTACCGATTAGCGAGCGGCAGTTCAGCGTAATTAGAAGGTGCATAACTCTGCCCATACTTTCAAACGAGCTGATAGCACAGCAGGGTTCAGGTTCAGGTTTCATCGATTGTTCCGATAGTACGATATCTGGTGCCAGTTGCAATTGGGTGCCACATTCAAATGAAGCCATGAAATTAATGATCCGTGACGGACTTGGTTAAGAAAGTTCCCAGTTTACTTCAATGTGCTGCCGTCAGCAGCCGCCGGGAAAACTGATGCATCACAACAGAACAGAGTATTCTGTACGGTACTACCAGCCCAATATCTTTGCTCTGTCCAAGTCATTCGCACCTAGAACATGATCATATCTATCTGAAATGGATGGCGACTCAATGATAGAGAGAGGGAAGGAGAGGACAAGATTGCCTGGGAAACGACGTGAGCAAAGGTGAGAAGGTTCTGTACGTCGGCTCTAGTACTAATACTAGTAGCAGGCATCCTTTAACTTGAAGGACGATCACTCCAGCTTTGACCGATGCCGCATTGTCTACAAGGTGTGCGGACCAAGGGCTGTTCCGGGCTGTTACCTTTGACTGTGCAATAGTCATTGGGCGGCAGAATTCAATACTTTTAATGTTTTTCCCCCAATTTTACACCAACCATACATTTCATGCATTCTCCTGTCGCAAACGCTTTGGCGGTTCTGACTGCCATCTGTCACGACGCACCAACCTTCATGCACATGGCTTCAAGGTATCCCAAGCGAACACAACATACTGGAAGGAACATGTATTTCAGTTCATTCAACTAACGTAACACTCACCCAGATCGGCATCTGTGCAGGGACACGCACTTGCAGTTGAAAAACACTCAGAAGGCTATTGATGATACATAACTCCCCTGCCATTATAAGCATATCGGAGTAAAAGTCCTAAATCTCAGAGGTGTTAGCGGTGCGTTGAGCCATCATCGATGTCGATAAGTCACGGATCTCGCTACACATGGACGACAAGTTCGACATGGTAGTCGCCGATTGTGTATGGCAAAAGCCCTGGCGGCGATGATAGCTGCTGACTGACAGTCCCGAAGGGGACGAGATGGTCAGTAACCCTCTGCATAGTGCTGAAATTGCATATTTCTTGCCAAATCATCTGTTCTCCTACCTCCTGGCAGTCACTGATAAGGAAGACAGACCACAGAAACCCAGCAACTCCGCGGCTGGAATCCCGCACGATTAAATAAGTCCGCTGTCGCGGAGACAGTGAGTTCTGACCGCATTCCCTTCCAAAGCTGCCCCAAGTACCAAACTTAGTCGGTGATACTCGGACAGGGTTTGTTGCCCCAATGTCTACTAGTTCAGGAATAGCTGCTTCACCTCCTCGTGTACAGGTTATTCCCGGGGATTTAAACCAGAACTGGTAATCGTTGCGACCAGAGCTAACTTCGTATTCAGATAGATTGATTTACTACATGTGAATCTGGGATAATCCCGGATGGATACAAATGCGTATGCATAGAACTAACATAATTGTGCATCGGAATGCTAGATCCACAAGGGACTCTTCCTCCTTTCGTGCACTCGACTGAGTGCAAGGAAACCGTGAGGCATATATCTCACGATTTCTCCATGCGTATATGCCTCGTACATATTGTAAGTTGTATTCCGTACTTGATATCCCGGACCAAAGAACTTGAGAAGGGCCTAAAGAAAGTAAACATGTCACGAATTAGCTTCCAAGTCTCTCAAACAGACAATTCACCCCACCCTGACTCCACGACTCCTTATCAATATCTGCTTGGGCGTAGGGCGACCCTACGGGAGTAGTGTCAGACACATAGATGGCTCAAAGGACGCCACTGCTCATCAATTTGCTCTTGTCTGTAAATCGAATGTTGCTTGTGGTTGGATGGACGAATCAATTTGCAGTGTTCGGGAGCACAAACTCGTGGAAGCATCGCGGGGCTTCTGAGGTCAGCAGTCCAGGCTACCCACGATCGCATGCTACGAGCCATCAGGAAGACAAAGAAGGGTCCCTGTAGAAGCGCACTTATACGCTTTCTTTGGCATGTTCGAGACAGTCAAAAACAAATTGCCGATATGGGGGATAAAAATTAGAGATCGGTGGCCTAAAAGACATCGGAGGTCGAGTAAGAGCTTCGGGGTTTCTGCGTAAATGTGATAATACTCCGCGAGCACGCAAAAACACAAAACAGAAACAAATACCTTCCAGGTCGAGTCGAGTCGAGAATAGATGCTAGAAGACCAGTGCTGCCTTGAAACTAAACATGGGAGGCGTCCACCACGGGAGCAAAGACTCCATTTCCGTCGACTTCCAGGCCATCTCCAAGGCCTGGTGCAAAGTTTGCACTCGTGTTACGCAGGGTCAAAGTACAACGCTCCATCACCAAGTGCACGAGTCGGCAGACTTCTGGAGGACACGGAGGAAGGCGACCTCCGGTGATAATTTACGAATGGATCAATCACTGCGGAACCCACGCGGATAAGGAGAACGCAGCACATTTCACGTTGCTTACCCCTACAAGATAAGTGACCACTGCTCTAAATAGTGGCAGTCGAGACCCAGCATCCCTTCTGATCGGAAATCACGTTCGAATGGATCGTCGCTTCGTTTAGTGCTGTACATTGTTCTCCGGGAGGGGAGCTAACACCCCGAAATTGTGATTGCACGGCATCTTTGGAGCCATTCAATTTGTGAGATGATAGAAGACACGAGCATTCCTACCCTCTTTCGTTCGGTGTCATGGAGCAGAGGGATATTTCCGGGGTGCATGCACATGAGTATGCCCGTGAGTGATGGGCTTAGATTGGATGAAACTTACTCATATAAAAGCAGGAGCCCCCCATCTTCTTGTATGTCGCAACCCACTCTTTGGCGAAGTGATATCCTGTGCTATGGTCAGACTCCCTTCCCTCCCATATGTATTCTTGTGCTTAAGCCTCTTTCTTTATGGCTGCAGCTAATTTTACATACCATGGGAATGGAAGGGGGTTTGGACCAGTGTCCAGGGATCCATCACCAGCCCTGCTTCCAATATCTTCTACAAAATCGAGTTACGTGGAAGACACTGATTATGATTACGCACAGCATAGATTATATTCGGATGATTGTCTGTATGAATCGACCATGCAACGCGGTGGTTGTATTTGACTGGGAGAGCTGCGCTCAGAAGAATGGGGCAGTAAAGCTTTGGCAAATGTGTATGAAAAGTGGTGCGTCTGCGCTACATTGCGCCGCTTCGAGCATGCGGGGTCTTTTGCAGTAAGTTAAGTTTTTGAGTTTCTATCAGCGAGACAGCATCACGTATTGTTTGATTAAAGGTACCATACCTGGTCTACTGAAATGCGCCACATGTTCTCAAGATCATATGTCAGCAAATTGCTTCCCGCCTACTACGGGGTGCGTATCCTTCCAAGTCTTGCAGAAGTTGTTGTCGGTGGTAGAGGGGTATTGGATTTGCATTCTAGATTTACCATGTCTCGCACGCTAGCTTGTCCAATTCATCGACCAGAGTCGTCTTTGTATCTGAATCCTTGAACGCGGCTCGCTTCAGCACTGCTACTCCACCCAGTTTGGAGTCGGTCGACGGGTACCGGATCAAGGTCCGAACACGATGGTCCTTCGATCGATTAACAAGAAAGTCGGGTCCGACTAGTGACTCATGCGCGCTTGAAGAGCACTGAGCTGCGGTCAATGACAAAAGACGATGGGAAATCATGGTGCTTTGGTTTGTAAAATCAATGATCTACTGCATCACGTCATGAATTTGTTGGTCATCCCGGTAAAGTCTTGACAGCCTGAATGGGAAACCTAATAGAGCCATCCATCCGCGCTACATGGGCTAGAGCTGGCTTGAAGAAAAGTATGTATCGCTCGAAAACAGAACAGACCAAAGTCTTCAAGTTGATGCGGGCTGACGGTCAGTCTTGCGAGATATTTGGGCTTTTTCAACTAACTGGTCTGTAGCAGAAACACTACGGCAGTGTGAGATGCGCGTACGTGCACGAGCATCAGGAAATTCAACATGTCATAATGCGCGATCATCGACATCCGCGATAGATTAGAAATGTCTCCGTGAACCGTATGATATTGAACTTGCTCAAAATTGTCATCAAATGTTATTCAGAAAAATTAACCACGAGGCGCGGAACCGCAATTCGATCAAGGATCTTGAAGAACCAGATACCCTTACCCTCACAATACCATTCAAGAAACCATCCAATTCAATACAGTCTTTTGGTCGCAATGAAGATTAACATTTTGGGGTACTATTAAGACCTCGAGGATATACAACGAGAAGCCTGGATCGGAGACTTCATATGAAGACGGAATTAAGTATTATCAGACACTGAACAGCCATGAACTGCTGCTATTGCACGAGTATGGGTGGCTATGCAGGTTTCGAGTGCCCCACAGGTTTCTTGAGCGCTCTCACGTTGATGGTGCAGAGTAAGCTGGCTGGATATCAAGGTACACGGCCAAAGTTGTACCAACATATTGCGCATGCACCGACTATCTTGACTGCATGCCCGGGGACGAAAAGAGCCTAAGAGGCTCCAAGGTGAGCGCGTCCCATACCATCGCTGTCCCGCTTACAGAGCCTATGGAAAGAACGACCAAGTTCCAAGCAAGCGCAGTCACGGCACTATCTTCGTGAGCCTCAAATCGATCGTCCTATGTTTCGCGCACTGCCGCATCACTCAAAAACAGCGACTCCAAAAGAGTGACAATCGTTGAGAGCAAACTCCGCGACCGCTCTCGCGGAGTCGCCATTCCAAAAACACATCGCCTGATTAGTAGCCCCAAAACTTCTTAAAAAGCATTGATTCAATCAGTATTAAGTACAAAGGCAACACTGTGACAAAGATATGGGAGATCCCTGGAAGATGCGGTTTGAGATAGTCCGGCGGCCCATCAGGCCCACCGTCCTGGAACTACGGGGTGTGATGACGAAAGTCCCCCATCAACCGCAATGTTCTGTCCATTGACATAACTCGATTCATCTTTGTCAGGGTATAGATCAGATCTGAATCGCTTTTAACGGAGGGACGTGTTCTTACCCGACGCCAAAAACAAGCTCATGTGAGCAATTTCTGCAAGACGTGATAAACTGAGTGCACATGGTCACAGCACGAGGTACATACCTTGAGCGACGCCAAAGCGGCCCATCGGGTTTAATTGACCAATCTTGCTCTCCCTGCCTCGTTGGCGAGCAGAATAGAACATGTCCTTGGTCATATTGGTCTCGATCAGGCCCGGGCAGATTGTGTTCACGCGAATGTCAGTCTTCTGAAGTTGATATACGCTTGTCTTCGCGATCGAGTTCACGCTGTGATCCGAAATGAGTTTCTCCGCTGACAACAATGATCGAAACATTACGCCGCTTTACTTGCGCTATCTGATCGTAGGGTCAGCCACAGCAGGTCGAGCATGGGAAGGAGCAGAACTCACAGTCTATGGTCCCTGCCCCGGACCGTAGCCCTGCCACTGTGATGTTTGGTTAGAAACATATGTAGTAATGCGAAGGGGATGAAGAAACGTACCAGATGCAGTCAAAATGATACTTCCTCCACTAATATCTTTCCCTCTCGACGAATTAGTCCTCATCATCGCGTCGGAACCGTACTTGACGGCAAGGAAGCAGCTGTATTTCCGGTTAAACCAAATATTATGAAAAATGACACGGCGAACTGACGACAATGCATTGACTCGCATGCTTTCCATGAAACCTTCTGCGGTCGAATCGGAAAGCGTCTTATCACTTGCGAAACCAGCCTTTCGGGCGTATTTGAGTGCAAGACCAGGTTTCGTCTATTGAATCTGACACATACGTTGGCAAAGAATACGTCCAATCGACCCTCATCTTGTAATGCTTGTTCACAGACAGCTGCTATGGCGGTCTCATTTGCTGCGTCGGCTTGAGTGGTGGTCACCTGTGATACATTTAATCATTAGACGCAAGGAATATCAGGGTCTCACCTTCACGTCCGGATATGAGTTCTCAATCGTCGACTTGAGTTCAGGAAGGTTCTCTTGTGAGAAATCAAGCAAGTATAGATGAGTCGCTCCTGCGAATATCAATATAGAAATTGTGACGGGTGCTGCTTCCAGAAGGTGATAGTCCACGGACCTTCATGTGCGAACAAGAGCGCAGAAGCACGGCTGGTGCAAATTACAGGTCAATTTCATTGCATAAATCAACGACTGAGTATTTACCCTATGCCATGCAACGATCCAACACCAGTAATAACACAAGTTTTACCTTTGAGTCGCTGCCCGCGCGGAGAGTTCGAGAGGTGCGATTGAATTTGCTTAATGCGGACAAGAGTACGCTGATGATGTTCTTCTGCGCTAGGCTGCCTCCCTTGAGCAGCGTTCGAATAAGGCATGTCGAGTTAGGTGAGAAGTACTTGCTAGATAAGTTCGCTCTTCAAAGCTTCATATACTAACTTTGGCGCGCGTTTCACCGAGCTCTTATTGTAACCGAAAACCACTAACAATATTCATGGGAACTGCAATTAGATTCTGAGAAGGCGAAGACAAAATACGCAGAAATTTCGGTATAGACAAATAAAATCGGACGCACAACGCATCTAAGTAAAAGGGTCAAGGTATACGGCTCTGAAAAACATCCACCAATATCACTACGCTCGGTCAAACTAGTTTACTCTTGTCCGATGAACATCAACCAGTGACGCAGTCAAGGGAGACTATGGGTGTCTAAGGCTGCTGATCGCGATACACGGTATTATAGTAGTTGGGGCAGTGGGACCAGACACCCTCTTGAGGTGGGAGGTAGCTAGGGTCCCGGTAGACATCTCTACGTGGTGGCGCGTAATCTGCAGCATTTTGTCCCGTCATCTCCTGATGAAAAGGCTGATATTCGCCCTCCGGTCCATAAGTGGGATGTATTGGAGATGAGCCGAAGGAATTAGTTGATGAAGAACTTCCTCCAGACAATGGAGAATCTTGATGATCCGCTGTATCCGGAGTCCTGAAATTGTAGTACGCGGCGGGATAACCAGGGACTTGCGGTGAACCGTCGCCACCACTCGTGGTGCGAGGGCGTTTAAAAGCGGTGGAGTGAGGATACACGGAGGTATCAGAGGGCAGCTGGTCACCAACTTCATCAGACACCCAACTAGGGCATTCGTTGGTAGATGAAATAGGTGTAGTCTGCGACACTGGTGTCTGTGGAGGCTCCTGTCGCCCTGTCGGTATCATTCTCTGGGAAGGATTGAAGGTCAAAGCGGGGGTTTCCGGGATCACTTGCCTCCTGCGCTTGCGCGGAGGTGGAGAAGGCTTCTTCTCCCGATCTGAAAAAGACAGGGGTTTCTGCGTGAACAACGGCTTTAGCTCCTTCTGATTTTAGACGTTAGCCTTCGTCGAAGAAAACGATGTACAGCGATGAGACGTACTGATTCTGGACGAATTGCGGTCGGCTGAAGAGCATGACTTCCCGGAGGAGTGGATGAAGGTGATGAATCCGAAGACGACGAAGCCTTTTGAGCGCGCTGCATGTCCTATCGAATAGAGAAGAGAAACTCTATGAACAAGAAGCTCAGCTGTAAGACCTGCAGCTGGCTGAAGGTTTTAGTTTTCTGAGAAAGATGCATTTTCAGCTGAGGATATATATCAGTTCGTTTGGTGGAGCATCATGATCAGTATTAAGACTTAGCCACGTTTGCTGATAAAAACGCGACTGCCTTGTGCCCCTGCGTAGCGCAAAAACAATGAGCGCAAGCTTGAGCGAAATGAGTTGTGCGGTTCATTGAACAAATTTCAAGGCAAAGATAGTTTGGTACTCCGCTATCCGTCGGAGGCTCGTTTACCAACTTCCAAATCTGCTTGACTTTACTGGGTTCGCGTAATTCTATTGCTCTTTCCATCATGTCCTCCTCGATAGAATTGATCAATCCAAAGGCAGAGAGCGTCAGACGCGCTGCTGCCTTGCAGGTAAGTCGCGTGTCCTGGTTTTCGCTGTTCCAATTTCATGCATCGCTTTACTAGGTCAACACCAATGGCGCGATGGGTCTTGCTAACGTAGTGAAGGGTAATCTCGGTAAGGATTAGTATCACTTCTTGAGCGACCGTTCTGTTCCGATCGGATACCATTTCAGGTCCAAGAGGTACTCTAAAAATGCTTGTGGACGGCTCTGGTCAGATCAAAATGACCAAGGATGGTAAAGTGTTGCTATCCGAGATGCAAATACAAAACCCGACAGCCGCTATGATCGCTCGAACTGCGGTCGCTCAAGATGATCAAGTTGGTGACGGAACTACTTCAGTAGTTCTACTGGTTGGAGAGTTGCTGAAGCAAGCCGATCGTTACATATCTGAAGGCGTACATCCAACCGTCATAGGGGAAGGATTCGATCTCGCGAAGAAAGAGGCTTTAGTGGTTGGTTTCCGCATCTGCATGTATCTACACTCCTGATGGACGCGTCTAGTTCCTTGACACGTTCAAGCTGCCATCCAAATTGGATAGGCCAACTCTGATCAACGTCGCACACACTTCGCTTGCCACCAAGCTGCATGCCTCGTTAGCGAAGCAACTCGCTGCAGATGTGGTAGATGCTGTGCTCACCATCAGGCCACCAGCACCCCCCAAAGGCACGCCTTTCATGTAAACAAAAGGGTCCTCTTGCTAAATTCTCATACAGAAGCAAAAGATCAGTATCGCGACCCAATAGATCTGCACATGGTGGAAATTATGAAGATGCAACACCGCACAGCGTCAGAAACTCAGCTTGTGCGTGGTTTGGTCATGGATCACGGTGCCAGGCATCCGGACATGCCCAAACGCGTCGAGAATGCATTCATTCTAACATTGAACGTCAGCTTAGAGTACGAAAAGACGTACGTTCTTCAGCACTGCATTTCAACTCTAAACTCACAAAAGCTTAGAGAGGTTAATTCTGGCTTCTTCTATTCGTCTGCCGAGCAACGTGAAAAGCTCATTGAATCTGAGCGGCGTTTCGTAGACGCCAAAGTGAAGAAGATCGTAGAACTTAAGAATCTCGTGTGCGATCAAGCTGTTGGCGGCAGCGAAAAGCCCAAAAACTTTGTCGTTATCAATCAAAAAGGCATTGATCCACTTAGTCTCGATATTCTTGCAAAGAATGGCATTTTCGCTTTGCGTCGTGCTAAGCGACGTAATATGGAACGGTAATGTCTTCAGCGCTGCGCAAAAGATATTACTCTGATTGCGGTCGTATCTTAGCCTGCAGCTCATTTGCGGAGGTGTTGCGCAAAATTCCGTAGACGATCTAACCCCAGATATTCTCGGCTGGGCGGGTCTAGTTTATGAGCACACTCTAGGCGAAGAGAAGTACACTTTCGTGGAAGAGGTTAAGGAACCCAAGAGTGTCACGCTCCTTGTCAAGGGTCCAAATGCGCACACGATCCAACAAATTCAGGATGCTTTACGGGACGGTCTTCGTGCCGTCAAAAATGCACTCGAGGACGAGGTTGTCATTCCCGGTGCGGGAGCCTTCGAGGTTGCATGCGCAGGTCATTTGAGTGGTCCTGTAAAGAAAGCTGCCAAAGGCCGCGTTAAAATGGGCGTGCAAGCGTATGCAGACGCATTATTGATCATTCCAAAGACTCTTGCGCAAAACGGAGGCTTTGACGTCCAGGATGTGGTGGTGGCACTGCAGGTTCGCGATATCATTCCGTTTGTATTTAATTTGCTTACATTGATCGAAATAGGACGAACAAGCGGAGGGAAATACGGTTGGTATCGATTTACAATCAGGGGAGCCGTTTGATCCGACTGTGGAAGGCATCTGGGATAACTACAGGGTGAAGAGGCAGATGTTACATTCATGGTAAGTCGATATACTTTTCCATCAGAAGAATGGCTGCTGAGACCGAAATCTTAGTTCTGTGATCGCAGTGAACCTCCTTTCTACAGACGAAATCTTGCGGGCGGGCCGGAGTTCATTGAAGCCAGATGGGCAGTCGTGAAGAAGTGCTGTGAATTGTGGGTACAACGTGCCTTACTGTACCGTTAGAATACGCACTCGATATGTGGTGGCAGAGAATGGCATTTGTATGAGGCGTATGGACGAGAATTACAAAATGCTACTGTAGTTGATACAAGTAACGAGCTAACCAATTTCGGGGGTGGACGGGACCACATAATTTAGTTTAATATTAAGTTTAACAGTGTCCGCACAACCCAGACTCCGCCCTAGCAATTAGTGAAGCTGTTGTTGAGTGAGAGCAGTCAGACTCCCAACCTGCATCAATGAAACGAGTGGGAGAGGATGGTTCGTCGTCGGCGTGAAATGAAGCGGATTTGCGTAAATAATGAGACATGGGTGTTCCACGAGCGTTCTTCCAGGGTACTGGGGCAGGAAGTTTAGCCGTATATGTGACACGGAGATGAGAGAATTGCTCCTCATTTACAACGCCGGTATGAGCCTCCTTGCTTTCAGAAAGAAGCCCTTCGACAACTCGATCGTCGTCAGAATTGGCCGAGTCAACTGTACCATCATCCGGAAAAGAAGTGCGGCGGTGCACATCTAAGATCGGAAACTGCTCGCCCAGCTGTAAATTGTTCATGTGCAATTCTAAGTATAAGAAGTAGATGTACGTACGTCGTCAAATGATGGTGTGTAGGACCCGGCACGAGGAATTGCACCACCTTCTATATACATATTCTCCGACATGGACGAAACGCGAGCGCTTGATCGTGAACCAACAGTGGGAATCGCATGCAGTCCATCTACGCTAGAAACTTTCGTGGAACTGTCTTCTCCACAGAAGGAAGCCTTTGGGTTCAGCCGCTCGCTGCGGCGAGTCCCTGGACCAGAGTCAAGGGGCAACTTGGATATTGAGGACCAACGACGTCTGGCAAAATTGACTGGAGATGGCCGGAAGGTTAGAACGCTATTGTGCACAGGCCCTCGCCAACTAGCTCGCTGGGCTAATTTTTCCGCGACTGTATGCTCAAGCTGCGACGGACCAGCTATAGGTAACGGCGTCTGATCATCAGGTGTGACAGGACCAACACTGTCACTTTCCAGCGTTGGAAGAGAGGGACCACTGTCCTCTTCATCCTGGGACATATCATCAGGGCATGGTGCCCACTTCCGGCGAGCGTAATTTGTCGGGTTGGGATGATATAGAAGACTACTACCCACCCCTTTGAATTTATAAGCCGAGGGCCCGGAGGGTACAGAAGGGCTGTAATCCAATACTTCATCATTTCCCCCGAATGGACTGGGGAGCTGTCGGGGCTTCTTCGTTAGCGGTGCCGAGCCTTCAGGTGGGAATGATGCCGCTCGTTTGCCAGTACGAAGGGTCTCTGGATCATTCGCTTGATCCCAGTCTTGTGAGTCTGCTTCTTCGTCGTCCATCTCATCTTCTTCATGCCTGCCAGCGAGCCACTGCGTGACCTTAATATTTCTGCGGAAAAGCCTTTCTGTGCGTGTCAGGTTCTGAAAATGACCAAACTTCTTTCGGACAAATCTTCCGTTTGTCGTAGATTTCTTGCCAAAACGGCCGTTAGAGTCTCGAGGTTGTGATTGCACCGCCAAAGCCTTTGGCCTGGTATGACTGCGTGATGAAGAAGGGGAATGATCGCTATTTTTGATGCTTGATGGAGGAGCAGAAAGCTTGATCACGGGTGCAGACGGAGTCAATGGAGGCTTAGGAGGTGAGGAAGGCTGAGATCGGAGTGACACCTCAGGAACAGGATATTTACGGGGTCGACCTCTTTTCCGTTTCGGTAGCTCTTCTTCAGGAAGAGGGTACTTGCGTGGCCGCCCCCTTTTTCTCTTCGGTAGCCCGAAAAGCTCCTTTGCCTTGACTAACATCCCTCCGCGAGGTCCGTCATCAACTTTGCGCTTCTTCAGAGGCCGCTCGACGACGGGAGGCACATGTTTGCGTTCCACAGCAGGGGTAGTCTTCTGAGGAGGGCGCCGCGAGGAGCTGGCTTCGACGTCATCGCGAGATGGAGCAATAACAGCTTGACTTGGAAGGCGAGCTGGCCATGGCTGACCATATATGGCGGCGTGACGCATACATCTGGTGCAAAAGAACCCCATCAGCACAAATAAACCATAGGATATCAGCAGAATCACCTTGGACACTCTTGTTTTTGTTTGGACTTCTTGCCTTTCCGCGGGGAGTCCAAATTCAGGCCCCAGACCACTTTGGAATCCACGGAAATCACAGGCAAGACATTCAAGCACGTCACGCACGTTGGCAGCGGACGTCCATCTGAACCACGAGGAATCTCGCGCTTCGGGGGCCCAATCAGATCTAACTTTTCCCCGACTGCGGAAGGGCGCGCTCGGAGAACTCTTGCCTCAGACTCTTCCTTGACTTGAGTCTTGTCCGCCTCCCTTCCTTTGCTCCTACTAGGCGTGATAGACACGCTATCCCGAAGATTTTGACTCCTGAGGCGAGACGAGAGATTGTGCAAAGTATCATGGGGGGCGGGAGTAGAATATTTGCTGGACGATTCCCGTGTCTGTCGTCGAGTGGAAATGACGGGCTTTTCCTGCGCTTTCCCTTTATTGGAAGATGCTGATCCTTCGGCGCTCAACGATGTCATACGTGATGGCTGAACATCCGGATTAGGCGTGGCAACTATTGCATCATTGGCCGGCAAGAGAGAAGCTTCCCCACCTAGCTCCATATCCACTTCATCTTCCCCAGAAGCATCAGGGGCGTTCGCAAGTGGTTTTTCGCCCTCCTTATCGTCGTCGTCGCTCTCCTCAGAGTCAGAATCTTCCTCTTGAATGATGGCGTAAACGCCACGTCGCGTCCTACGCTCGTTGACATCAGCAACTGTCACGGCATCCACCTCAGCGTCGTCTTCCGATGCTTCGGCATCTTGTTCACCGCCCGAATCAACATCGCCATCGAAATGATCCGGAGCGTAGCCTCCCCTGCCGTTCTTCTCGCAAGTTTCACAGAGGCAGTGTCGATTCCTGCCTCCAACTGTGGCGTATGTGAGCCATGGAGACTGACCGAATAACGGATACGCACAATAACCATCGCCGTAATGCGCAGTAATCTCTTCGCCCACGGAGATAGCCCGAAGAGTGCGAAATGTGATATACTTACCTTCGCGAAAAAGCTCGCAATTGTTATCACAATCATGCTGCATAAGTCAATATCAATGTGAATAACCAAACAGAAGTAAAAAGGCATAGACCGTCACAACTTACGTTCACGAATCGGGCGGGCCCCAAAAATAGATGGTTCTTCTTCATTTGACGTGAATGGATGACACTAAAGTCCCTCCTGATATCGATATTTCTCAGGTCGGTGCGCTTGAGTTCTTTGTCTTCCTCCTTCGAAAGATGTGCCATTGATCCCTTCAGCTCAATAATTACCACTCCAGGGGCTAAGGAGCGCGTAGCGAGGATGCATAACTCTGACTTTCCTGTCCTGTGAGAGTATCTAGACGTGTGAGCAATTTCTATGCACCCTGCAGGGTTGTAGAGCTCAAAGTATCGCGAGGCGTGTCTGTGGTAAAATGGAGTTTCAGGAGCAAGACATTGATACGAAACCTGATTGCACACACGTGGCGAAAGCATTAATCTGCTTCTGCGTGTAGGGCTTGAGGTAGTAACGAACAGAAGGCAGACTAAAGAATGATCGTCCCTGAATGTCTGGTAAACATATACAACACAGAAATTAGACGAACGCGAGGAGGTCGTCTACGGCTTGTCGGACAGCATTCTGAGCACCAAGCTTACTTGCAACCAACTACGACACGATGATGTATGACACCATACGCGCGTCCAGGGAATAATTAGTTGCGTGCATACGAAGCGAGCTAAGGGTATACTCACGCGTCTAACGATTTGCATGAGATCCTCGGCATTGGTCTTTGGGAGTCTTCGAGATGGATCCATCTTATGAACGAGCAATGGGACTGTGCCTGTTCCAAGTTTCTCGACTAGCAGATGGCTAAGGAAGTCATCATCCTTGGAAAGGTCACCCATGTTCATGATTTTGGTAGGACGCCATATGAGAACTGTCCCTCTGGCTCGTGTGGAAGAGCCATTGGCGGTCGCAGTCGCGGACGCTGGCGCCATTGAACGGTAACCGAAAATTTACGCGTTCGGGACACAAAAAGAAAAAAAGCACAGACTGGACGAGGACAGCAATGACGCGAACGGAAGGGAAAAGGAACAAGGCGAAAGCACTGCAATTGCTGGCGCGATAATTACGGCACTAACCTCACTGTGATTATGTCAGCTTAAACCCACTTCTCGGGAACAATTTAATATGCTTTAGGTCAGAAGTTAGAACGTGGTTATCTTTCGAGAAGCATGTAGTGAGGACATGGATTGCGTTGATTGGACAGAGCATATGATAAGATGGCATGGTCGTCATACACTATAATACTAAAGATTTCCCATATTTTCGCCATGTCCTCGTGATCTTATGTATGCTCAGAGACAAATCAAGGGGTAAATCCCTAGGGAAATGAAGGAGATAGCATTTATGCGTTGTGCGCGTGCTTCTGTTTGCCTGACCGGAGCTTCCTGACGTAGAACTATTTATGAAGGTGAGTAAGCGATACATAATTCCTTCGAGCAGTAAGACAAACCTCTAGCTCCTTGCCCTCCAGAATGTAGCCGTCACTACGACCGGACTGTCCAGGTCTGCTTGAAATGCAAGCATAAAGACGGCCAGCAGCAAACTGAGACTCGAGAAGGGGGTCAATTTTAGCATCTGAGATGGGCAATGAATTATACAATGCGAAAGATAAAACGGCATTCTTACTCTGCTTCCTCTCCGCAATGATACGTTGAAGATGGTTAGATTTTTTTCCCTCCTCCGCGGTGGCAGTCTTTGCAGCAGCACCCTTCTTGCTGATGGGTTGGGCGTACTGTTATTTACATAAATTAGTAGGGTACAAGGGATGAACTTCTGGTAGGTACGCACGTGGGACTCATACCACTGCCTGAAAGGGGTAGCGTCGATCTGAATGATAGCGCCCTTCACCAAGGTATTGGTGCGGACGAGCTCATTGTTGGATGCGTTGTAAACCTAAATTGGGTATCAGTCATGCATGCAATTTGTATTATATTAAACTGTATGCGGTATCAAGGGTACTTACAACACTGATAAGCCTAGTCTTTCTTGTGACATGCTCAGATGCCCATGCGAAGTTACCTGTGTCAAGACGGAGGGCACGGTACTTGGTGTTACCACCACGGACGCGCACAGTGTGAACACGCTTGGCACCAAGCTTGGTGCTAGCAGGCTGACGACCGAGCTCGAATTTTCTCTTCTTGCGATAGTAGGCGCGCTGGGCACCGGTTGCCGAACGTTTGTGCCGGGACGAGCGAGAAATACCTGCATAAATAGTAGTTTGATATCATTAGCATAGGATAAAAACATATGTGTTAGTATATCGGAAGACCAGCACTAACCCATGTCGGATAGCCTTGAGGATGGGAGTCGTGTAGTCGAGTCGATGTTTTGATGATAGTACTGAAAATTAAGGTTTGCTTATTCGTACTCAGATCGGCAAATGCCGAACTTGAATTTGGCTTTGCTTACATCAAGTTTGTACGCTTTGTACTGCTACCAGCTACTAACACACCAGCAGTAGGTTGCTAGCCCACCATGCATTTGCGATTATGATACGGCATGTCTGGACATGAACTTCCCGTGGCGTTGATTCACCCCTCCAGCGCGAACGTGATGTGATCTCTGCCACCTTTTCTACAGGTCTGAATGGCACCATCAAATCGGAGGGCGTACTCCTAGATATTCCATCAGCAAGCCCGGTTAGCAGCCAGTCGCATAATCAGCTGGGTGCGTGCCATAATATATTAGACTGATCCGTGCATTTTAGTAGGCGTCGCTTATTTAACTCGGTGGGTCCTAGTAAATTCTTGTTCATCTGTATTGTTTGTCGTGAAACCGATTTGCTTATGACGTGTAAATACAATTGAGATGCTAGACATACGCTGCCTTTACTACTAGGCTTGCACGCTTCGCACGCACGCCCCGTGCCCATGTCCAACTCGTTCTCAGGGTAAGTATTTTGTGGATCCCCGATATGAAATAACGTTCATCAACGGGCATATGCAACGAGCCCCTTTTTCGCCCGTCGCCCAATCTGTCATTTTTGTGCAAACCCGAGCAATCATAGGCTCGTAGGACGGCTGAATGACGCATACCATGCGCTTATCTCGAGGCCTCATTGAACAGGCGTGTCCATCTTGGCGTGTATATCTATGTGCTCCTACTCCATGTTTATGGCCCCCGTTTCCCCTCTCGTTGTTCTGTGTCCGTTTTTATATGACTTTATTCAAGACAGCCAGCTTCCGACGATTTCGTTACCGCAAGGCTGTTCGAGCGAATGAACGATCTGCGTTGGCCAAAAGCACTCAAAATGACCTTAGCCGACTAGTCCGCACTGCGGATCCGGCAGTTAGGAAGGTGAAACCTGTTCTAGTTTTCTGATCACGCCTGTATTCTGACGTATGATCATAGGCATTTGATGTAGAAATGCAGTCATTTTCGAAGCTGCATGCCCGTTATCTCGCAGAAAAGGAAAACCGAGAGCAACTGTAAGCCCTGCAGCATTATTTTCTTTTCCCCTTTTCGTGTAATTAATGCAGTGACAATAAGTGACTGGGATCGCATTAAATCGCCCAATGACAAGCAGGTCATTCCTTACAGTCACCTTCCACAGATTACTGGTCCAGAAGGCCTGTCCAAGTTGGCCGTTCTAAAAGTCAATGGGGGTCTTGGGACCTCTATGGGTATGATCCTTGAATTCCCCCCACATTTATGCTTACGTATTCTAAAGGCATCAGTGGTGCGAAAAGTGCTCTCGAAGTCAAGGACGGGCTGACTTTCTTGGACCTCATCGTGCAACAGGTCGAGTACTTGAATACAACACACAAGGTCGACGTGCCGCTCATCCTTATGACATCCTTCAATACACATGATGATACATTACGTATCATTAAAAAATACGTGTCCCAACGCATCAGCATAACTACGTTCAATCAGTCGCGGTATCCCAGGATATGGAAGGAGACGTTGCAGCCTTGTCCCAAGTATGCATCGGACGACAAGAAACACTGGTATCCTCCAGGCCATGGTGATTTGTACGAGTCGCTGGTGCATACTGGCGTGCTCGATCGTCTTCTTGCTGAAGGCAAAGAGTATTTGTTTGTCTCAAACTCCGACAATCTTGGGGCTGTGTAAGTCTTCACATCGCTGATGAGTCAAATGAGTAGCTCAATATTTTTACAGGGTCGACCAACGTATCCTCCAGCATATGATTGATAGCGATGCCGAATTCTTAATGGAGGTCACTGATAAGACCAAGGCAGACATTAAGGTTCGGTCTATATCTAAAGCTCCTTGAGGTGGTTGTTGATGTGTTGATGTTTCATTTATAGGGCGGTACTCTCATCGAGTACGATTCTTCCATAAGACTTCTGGAAATTGCCCAGGTACCTCCAGACCATGCTGACGACTTCAAATCAGGTAGTATACATCTTCCTTGACTTATCATTCAGCTCATCATGCGCAAGTCCGCAAATTCAAAATATTCAACACGAATAACCTATGGATCAATCTCAGAGGTATTTATTAGAGATTTATTCATTCAAGTGGGACGATCGTATTGATGGCTTATTTTCCAGCATTGAAGCGGATCATGGATGGAGGTGGCATAGACCTGGACATCATCATCAATCCGAAGATGACTGACAACGGACAAGCAGTGATCCAGGTTTGTTGTCCGTTTGGAATGCGATACGCGATCTCTGACTAGTAGCAGCTGGAGACTGCTGCAGGTGCAGCTATCAAACATTTCAATAACGCCCATGGCATCAACGTTCCCCGTTCACGCTTCCTACCCGTGAAATCCTGCTCTGATCTGTTGCTCATCAAGAGCGATATATACTCATTGCAAAATGGCCGCCTGGATATGAGCGAGAGTAGGATGTTCGGCAGCGTCCCGGTCATCAAGCTGGGTGACCACTTCAAAAAGGTTGGAGCATCCTTGGAGCTGGAATCATTATTTTGCTAATGGGCGCGATGCATGGTCAGATAACTGATTTCCAGCCACGATTTAAGAAGATCCCTAACATCATCGACTTGGATCATCTTACGGTAACGGGCGACGTCCATTTTGGTCGAGGGGTTACGCTCCGTGGTACTGTGATAGGTGGGCACCCATATTTTCTCTGCATTTGTTGAATGTGGCTAGAAATTTTATCATAGTGGTGGCGAACGAAGGTCAGAGGATTGATATTCCAGATGGATGCGTGCTAGAGAATCGTAAGCAGTGTCAGATTACTTAGTGATGTCATAGAGGCTGATGACACTTTACAGGTCTAGTTTCTGGGAATCTCAATATGACGGTGAGGCCATTCAAGTCTTCGCACTTCAACTTGACTCACTGTTAATTTTTGTGTAGGAACTTTGATCTATTATCCAAGTTACATTGTATGTTACCTTGACAAGGTTTCTGAGAGGAACTCTTGATTCGATGACGTACGGACTCTTAATCCTGACGTAGAATGATGTATCCGCGTATCTCGGATGCGAAGACTAGAGCTCTTCGCATCGATAAAACCAGGACAACTTGCGCCTTGTGGGGAAGTCGTCAGCGCGTAGAGGATATCATATCCTTCCCCTCATATTCTCACATCTAGTTCTTTCAATCTGTCATCTGCCAGTAGCTACGGACAAGAAGACAAGTCCTCAGTGTAACAATACGTGTCACGAATTCAAACTCCATTTTGTTCTCCCATGGCAAATCAAGCTAGTCAAGGTTGAACGTTGATGCCGATACAGGCGGCACTTCTCAAGTTGTAAACTCGCTCGAACGCTATTCATAACCTTTTGTTGACGTCAGATAGCGTAACGGTGCCAAGTTGCGCCACGACACCACATTGCATCGTGCCTCGTGCGATTTACTCCAGGTGGTCCAATCATGCACCGCTAGGCCACGTTCCAATCTGCATAACCCAACTTTAAACATATCGGCTCGGCCCCGTTCCGCCACAATAAACAGTTCAGTGCTAGTACTGAACGTCGTCAATTAGCGTACCCCACATCAACTCGGCCCCGACGTGCTCCCCTACTAGTGCTTTCATCTTCATCAATCGGCATGCCCCAACATCGAGCATATCAGTTCGGCCCCGTTCTTCGGCTAGCCGATGTGCTCACCAAAGATTCTAGTTTTCAGCTGACCATGGTCCATGTGAACCGGACTTCGGTCAAGGTCGAATGAAAGTACCGAGTCAAGGAAAAAATTAGCGCAGCTTTGCGGCACGTGATGGGTTTAGGCTCCACTGATAAAGGAAAACACTAAGTCAGATTGCTGCAAAAGTAAAAGTAGTTGGGTAAACACTATACTATCATGGAGCCAAAAGCCATCGCGAGCTCGTTGTCCACGATAGAAAGACAGTACAAAGACATGTTGAACAACAAAATCATGCAAGAGCGAGAAAAGAACAAACAGAAAAACAGTAAGATAAAAAGGAATATGCTATCTATGTATTGGTCCGTGCGTTGTTGTGAGGTTTCTTATTACAACTCCTGCAAAAGAAAAGAGCCATCAGCAGCAACTCAGGAAACCTAGTGCATCACTAACGATCATGTTCAAGTTTCCAGACAGTAACCCTGCGAGCAAGCAGAAATGTGAGATCAGGAGGTACGGAACGCAGAAAGACGTACTGTTCTCGAGAATACAGCCATCAGGGATATCGATACGCTGTCCCTCATTGGCAACGACTACGAGATTTTATCAGCAACTCCTATCAGATCAGCCAGCCTAGACTTACTGATTACAGTACCGCGAAGTGTCACATTTCGACCGAAATTCACATCACCTGTGACAGTCAAGTGATCGAGCTCGATAATCTTGGGAATCTTCTTGAAGCGTTTTTGGAACTGCTGAATCTTCTTGAAGTGGTCGCCGAGCTTGATCACAGGTGTGGTCTCGAACATTCGGCTCTCATTGAGAACGAGCTGTCCGTGTTGCAGCGAATAAATATCACTCTTGATGAGAAGCAAGTCGGAACATGATTTAACCGGCAAGAAGCGCGATCGTGGGACGTTGATGCCGTGGCCGTTCTTGAAGTGCTTAATAGCGGCACCGGCGGCAGTCTCGAGCTGGACAACTGGTTGGCCATCTTCGTTCATCTTCGGATTAATGATAATCTCGAGCTCCATGCCCTCAGTCTCCATGATGCGCTTGAGTGCTGAAAAGAAATTAATAATGTACGAAAATGAATGACTAAACGCCGGTACCTTTGAGGTTGATCCACAAGTTGTTGGTGTTGAAGATCTTGAATTTGCGCACTAGATATCACGTCAGAAGTGGAAGTATAGGGGCAAGCTCGTGAACCAACCAGACTTGAAGTCCTCGACGTGTTCTGATGGAACTTGCGCGATCTCAAGAAGGCGAATTGATCCCTGGTAGTCAATGAGAGTACCACCCTGTTGGAGAATGAGAGACCTATCAATGTATCGATCCAGGTACGTACCTTGATGTCGGCCTTTGTCTTGTCAGTGACTTCCATCAAGAATTCTGCTTGAGAGTCGATCATGTGTTGAAGAATCTTTTCATCGACACTAGAACCAAGCCCATCAGTTAAACACGGCGCAACGCGAACACCTCTTTGGTACTGACACTGCGCCCAAGTTGTCTGAGTTGGAGACGAAAAGGTATTCTTTGCCCTCAGCAAGCAATTGGTCCAATACACCAGAGTACAGCAACGCATTGTACAAGTCACCATGGCCGGGAGGATACCAGTGCTTCTTGTCATCGTCGGCACGCTTTGGGCAGGGAAGCAAGCTTTCCTTAAAGATCCGGGGGTATCGGGACTGATTGAATGTCGTGATGCGGAGTTGTTGATTTGCGTACTTCTTAATGATACGCAAGGTGTCCTCGTGGGTGTTGAAAGACGTCATGAGAATAAGTGGAACATCGACGCGGTTGCTCGTATTGAGGTGCTCAATCTGGCGCACGGTGAGGTCGAGGAAAGTCATGTCATCCTTGACTTCCAGTGCGCTCTTCGCACCAGTCATGCCTATTAACCATCAAAAGGACGTGTTGGAACCCACAACGTGGAACATACCCATGGAAGTGCCAAGACCACCATTTACTTTAAGCACAGCAAGTTTATTAAGGTTATTGTGGTCATGGGGTTGAGATAAACTGTCATAGGCCACAATCTGGTCATCGGCGGGGGACTTGATGCGATCCCAGTCTCTGATAAGAAGAAATTGTTTGAATATGATATATTTGGCCAAAAAGGAAGTGACGCACAGATCCACGCTTTTTGCGCGTTCTGAAAGATAGCGAGTAAACAGATAGAAGAATGATTGCATTTCGGTGTCAAATGCCTGCTGCGCATCAGAGATGGCGGACACGTGTAGGGTATGTGGAGCTTACCTTCTTGGCATGTTCATCGCAAGTGCTCACCAAATGGCTGATTTCATTACGCATTGACTTTGCTGCAACACCGGTTGTGGCTGTTTTGAAATCGATATGACTGCTGCCTTTAACGCGAGCGTTGAGATTGTCACGGGGAGATAAAGTCGCCATCGTTCTAGGATGTGTATTTAAGATATGCATGGGACGTAAAATAAAAGAACATACTTTGAACTTGGGATGACGTGTATCGGCCTTGTGGTTGTTGTGGACAAGTAGGGTTCTGTTTGAGCTCGTATGAGGAGACTCCTTGGTTTGTGGTGTCGTTTATAAAGTTCTGAACTGAGGTCAAGATTGTTGTGGAGACGGGGCGCGGACAAGTCCGAACCGAGAACGTTCTGCTCCTCCGGTATGAGCTCACACAACGATTTTCTTTGACTGGGTCGTCGTTCGTTGAACTCTCTACTAGTAATAGAAAATTTTGCTAAGGGTGAGGAAGGCGTTGGAGGGGAAGTTGAATGATGGATTGGCTGTAGACCAAGCAATTTCAGAGGACGGTAGAGGTCGTTATATGAAGTTGGGGACGAACGTGCTTGCATAAAATCGATAAAGGGACCCCGCGTCTCGCCGCAAAATGGATACTCCCAAGTTGCTGGGACAACCTCCCTGAACCTGGCTTTTATAACGAACACAACTAACTTTTCAGACAACTTTTACATATCGGGGTGTCTAAAGCTCTAGAACATATTTAGCCACCTGTCGGATCATCAGATCCCTTCTCCGGTGTTTGTGCTAGTGGTACTACGTACTACGTATCCCTTATCCATCCAGGCAGTGCCATCACAGCTGGGCTGATTCACAGCGCTAAACCCGTTCCCAACCCGAGCTCATCCGACCAAAACCTCAATAACTTTGCCATATTCGCCCAATAATATGTGTCAAGATTCTCTTTGCTAGACAAGCCTGAGGCAACGCCGGTCAAGCGCTGTAAGCTCACCTGTCAAATAAATTTGAACCAGTTGACTCAGATTCCCTGTTCACTTTGCGGATCAATTCTCACAACGTCAGTGTGTACGTATATGCATCACGGAAGGGCCAAGTATCGGAGTAGCCGTACTTTTCAACACAATGCTAACGTTCCTTAAAGTGTGCATACGCCATCTTATCAACGACTAGGGTGCCTTGTCGGGACCTTCCTTACCTGTCTCCATATATTTTCTTGCCATCGTCCCTTGTTGCCTTTTCGTGCCTTAGGCAAGCCAAGCCAATTATGTCCCATTTTTGGCTCAGCCACCGTTCCCGCGCTAGTTCAGGTGATCTTGGACAACATAAAGTGCCTTCAGGACGGTCAAAAACCTTTTGTCAGGTACATGACTATCTTCGGGGCGCGCATGTTCTGTCATTCAAAATGGAAGTCTGGCTTGATTGCCGCATCCTGTCCCTTTCATGCATGCTCGTCATTCGTAGGAATGACCACGCCTGTCAGTTCGGAGATTACGGTACCATTTGCATATTGCAGGGTAAAGTTTGCCTCAAGTTGGCTCTAAGAAATGAGACCGACGTCTATAGTTCCAAGTAATCAGTTGCTCAACTTTTACACATAAGTCGTAAACCACGCTTCACTATCAGGGTATCACCTAGCGACGAGCATCATCCCACCTCAGACGTGCGTTGTACACCATGCCGCAATGCAAAACGCCAGAAGAGGAGGCCACGCCACATCCACCATATCACTGAAAAAGCCGCGAAGGAGCCCTACCTCGTGCACTCTGCGGTTTGCCTTTGAGCACGGCAGGGACAGTGATATGCGTCTTCGCCGCCCTGGAAGATAGAAGACCAATGAAGACGAGGATCTGCCGCGGAATTTGTTGGAGTACGCCGGCCCTGCAGGCTTAGTCACAGGGAGAGGTAGCATTGGATCCTCGTCGCTATCTTCGCTGACACTTTGTCCGAGCGAACGTTGATATAACTCATAATCATTATTTCTACGACTGGGGCTGCGTTCGGAATACTTGGGCAGAGGAGAAACCTCGGGCTGGCGGTGTGTGTGTTTGTTGCCCCCGGCAAGAGTTCGGTGAGCATTAAACGCGAGAAGGCTAAGCACCGAGAGTAAAATGAAAGGGAGGTAGATATTCAGATAGATACCGAGCTGGTCCGGGAGGAAACAAGGTGTATCCAGAAGCGAAGGCGGTGAATTTGGCAATTGTGTCAGGGTCTCCATTACAGGGACTCTTGAAATCAATGAGAGAAGTTGAAATCCTGGTTGATGTATTCCCATTGCCATTGAAAACGATTTCACTGTGATTTCTCGGGCTGCGGTCGACCCAGAAGCGGATGGAAAAGGCAAGGGGTGTGAATATTCACAGTAGTCGTGATCATCACCACTGGATATGTAACTATCTTCAGTAATCGGTCTGCGTGCGAAACAGGGGGACAACGAACCTGAATATAAGGGATGGTCCGAGCGAGCGAAGCAGGAATTGCGATGCTTCATTAGACAGGGTGTTCTGGTACCCAAGGCCATGCCCCTGGCGGATGGTACCCCGTTCTCGCAGCGGACCGCAGTCTGCATCAAAGGGTCGAGCAAGAGGGATGTGCGTGAATAGCACAATCGGGCTGGCATGCTCATGCCCAGAAAACCGCTTCACGAACTCGACGGATCCTCCTGCTACGGCAGGCCAGTTGTCATATGAATACCCTCGGTCTGCGCGGACAACGTCTTCTTCGACCAAGCCGATTGCATTGATGAACAAAACAGTATGGTTGCCAATAGTAGTCTTGTGATTCAATGGTCCAAAATGGGAGGTGTACCTCGTTGCAGCTTCAAGAGAAAAGGAAAACTCTTCTCCGAGTCTGGAGATCCAAAAGATTTACAAGATTGCTCTAAACATGCAGAATTCATGACGCACCCTAGGTCATGATTACCGGGAAGAAAAAATGTCGGTATAGACAAATCTCTTAAATTGAAGATATCGAAGAATCGCGCAGCATATGGATTGTACCTTGTGAGTAAACGAGCAACCTCAGTCGCAAGCTGAAGTTCCGCCGCTTGAATGCAGCGATGAATTAGAGAAAACATACTCGCTATTCGACATGGTCGCACGACCGTTGTCCATGAGGTCACCCAGGAAAACAACGGCATGAGGTTGCATTCTATTTATCGTCGAGTGCCAACTCCTCCGGAGGTTGAGATCAATGATGAACTGGCCCAAGGCTTTCATCAGGAAGTTGCGGTTAGGATACGAGCGGTGGTCAGCGATTTGAGGGTCTGCTACCACTAATACGCGTGCGATACGAGCATTTGGTGCGTCGGGCTGACAATTGACACATAAGCATTAACTTGAGACCATATGACAGTACTTCACCTGGTGGGTATCGGGCCACTGACAATCATGTAAGACATGGTCGAACGTGCAAACCTCATACCAAAGGACGACTATTATCCAGGTTGCCCGAAGGCCGTTCACAACCATGTTGTGTGATGGAGGCCATAGGTTCAAGTTACGTAGATAACCTGGCATGGCGAACGATAGATCGAGCTAGCGGGCACTAAGCTCTGACTCACACCGATTGAGAGCAAAAGCTGTTCCTTGTTGTTTCTTCGTTATAATATGCACTGCAAGAAATTTTGTGAGAGACTTCCGAGTTCGACGACCAATAAGAACGGGCCGTACAACCAATTGCAATTGAAAGTGCGATTTAAGCTTGTGAGCCCAGTTACTGAGGAATCACTCGGTGGCGCCTATTAGTAGTAGAAGAGCGACTAATGTATTATGTCATTAATATTACGTAGTACCAGCGACTTGCCAGCGACTACGTAGTTACAAACGCTGCAGCGCTGAACAGCTAGTACTTAATCGATGGTAAGATTCCGGTGTGAACAGACACAAGTCATAAAGTGAAGTCTGAAATCATAAGATAGCATCTCGCAACCTCTCGTTCCCTCGGAAAATAACATGACCGAGGTCTCGAGCAAAGTGGGGCGCTAGATGGGCCACGCACGGCCTCTTGGTCTACGATGTACTGATCGGGAACTTGAAGTACTTCCAGTCGTTGCACCGGGAGCTGGTTGGCCAATCGTGGTGGATCTGGATTCAAAATCATTCATATGAATCGCATCCAATACTGGAGGCGCAGGTATTCGCCGTGATGTCCTGCACGAGTTACAAGTGTGAATAACAAGGTGTCCGTGCGATTTGGAATCTAGATATCACCGCGACTCGATAAGCAGGTACGAAAACGATGTTTACTCGACACTCACTCTTCACCCGTAAGATCGAGGAGGCTCCAGGTATCAACACGATATGACACCCCTTGCATATAACGCGTTTGACTGTTGGATCACTGCCTTCTATGAGTTCTACGATGGAAAGTGCGAAATGCATGTGCTCACATCTTGACATTCGTTTTTTGCCCCACAACTTTCATCGTGTCTATGTAACTCCTAGACAGATCCGCAGTGGACACGACCCTCTTTTGCCGGGTTTTCGGTGGGTTTTGGATATGGCTAGTCTCGCAATTGCTAGACGGAACCTGCGAGGGGCCAGCTGTCATGCCATTGAGGAGAACACTGGCTTGGTAGAGGAAGTTGAGACGTTGGATAATATCGCGATTACCAACCCTACTTGGGTTGGGAATATCGTCTTTGTTCTGTTTGCCCATTTGACCAGTTGAGCAGTTGGGTAGCTTTGAAGCGCCGAAATATTTGCCTTGACGAGTGTCTGCCGTCATTTCATTATAAATAAAATAACGTGAAGGCTATCAACCGACCTTAGCTCAGTTGGAAGAGCGCGAGACTGTAATGGATAAACAAATCATCTTGAGGTCGCCTGTTCGAGCCAGGCAGGTCGGACTATCGCGTCTTGTGTCTTTTTGTCACTTCAAGCTGTTATTTTGCCAAACGCAAGTATGTAGAACAAACTTACTACGTATACGATAATTAATGTTTACAGCATCGTGGAGGGGTATTTGTGTCTACATCTCTTTTCACTGATCTGAGTCCAGTGGTATTTGAGTGGACACCGATGCATCATCTAAACCAATAATACAGTTATATAACAATGGGAAGTGCAAAACGAGAGCCCTCAGTATGACCTGATAGACCGTACCATTGTCGTGATCATCACGTATTACGTCGGAGATAGCAAATTCGACAGAGTTTTCAAAGGTACACCCGGCCAAACTATTTCTGTCTCTGTATGGGATCGTGTTCAGCTCAATTCTGATTTACAGAAACACTCTCACAGAAATGATGTACGTGTAACGAACAAAAAAACTGCAACTGTCGTCGAACTCAACGATCAGGCTAAAGCAGTGGCGGATATTCCGATACGTTCATTGATTCGAATCGTGAAGTCGGTTGAAGGTGGATATCTTAGTGAGCGCCGTGGTTTGAATTTAGCTAGCTTGTGTAAACCCGTTCCAACAACCTCCTCCTGTGACAAATAGAGCTGCGTCTTCCACCAGCGTGGTGAATGCTTTAGAAATGAGTGTGACTAAGAACAAACGTAAAGTCACAAATGGGCCAGCCTTCGATAAATGCTGATGAGACTGCGGCAGCTGAACGATTATGAAACGGAAAACAGATCAACACGCAGCGGTATTTGATGCTCCCAAGCACACGGACATCGCACGAACTACTGAGGTCGGACGGCCTTTTCTGTTTAGCTCGGCAACATCCTCATCGAAGTCCTCTGCCAAGTGAGAAGTTTCGATCGCGAAGCTGACTGCTGCCAAGCGCGTGACTGGGGCAGTGGTATTATATGCAATGTTGGCGGAGGAAGCGCGGATGGAGACAGAAAATCAAATGGTATTTCTAAGAGTGTGGTTAGGGCTGCGGTGGAGCTCTGAGATGATGACAATGAGAGAAGAAGCTTATGGATAAGGAACGTGGGGTAACTTCTGTGGCAAAACCATGCACTCGTGATCGTTGGAGAGAAATTGCCAGCACTAGCACTTCGAACAACTTCTTTTTTGAAAAAATAATGCAGATGAGACTGGAACTCGACGATAGGAGTTCACAGATAGATTTCGAGGGAAAACTGGGTGTCATTTTAGAAGGGTAATTTGTGCGTGGATTTCGAGTCCCGAACTTCGATTATTTGACTGGATAGTATGTATCAACTTTCGGATGATGATAATCGACATACATGTCTCCAGCTACTAAGTAAACATTGTCAATAAGCAGCTACTAGGCAAAGAAAATTTGGTCATTTCCAAGTGCTTACAACGATGCAAAGTAGTATTTTACGCGATACCCATTTCCGATGACCCGGCCGTGAGCAACCCGCAGTTCTACTGCAATCGGGACTTCGCCAACGTGGAGCCAATCAGGTTAACAGCCCAGAAATCAGCCCATACAATAGCCGGCGTGTTGGAGGCGTAATGACAAAGAGACCGGCGGGATAGCTTGGTGATATATCTGCTGAGATGCAATACGAACGCTGCGCAACCACGATGAGACAATTAGAAAATCGCGAACACGGACCTTACACACGAATTAAAACACATGGCCAACTGTGCACCTATTTGGTTCTGGTAGGGATTTTTATTAGTACATGTTCTTGCGAGCATGAAGCGTCGACAGCTCTGTGAATTGTTTCCCTGCTCATGAGCTACGGACGAAACAATCGGCTAGAGATTGGTTTTAAGATATAAATCTCGGAGCACAGATAATGAATTCGCTTCTAGTGGTCATCGAGTGTTGACGGCGAAAGACGATGGACAAGAAAAGGTCCTATGGTGCGAATAGAATACGGATATATCAGCGAATACCCAAAAGATTACAACATTTCTATCGAGATTGTCAATGATGCTCTGAGTGCTCATCGTGGTGGCCATGACCGTGGCCCTCCCATGGATGCCGGAGGCCCTGCAAAACAATGTGTTAGAGACACGGAATAGCATTCAGAGGAGAAAAAGGATAAATACAAGAAGCTTAGGTCCGTCCTCACTGATAAGAAGTTAGCATACGACTGCAGATATAGTGTTGGAACTTACCGAGCACGATATAAAATGAAGAACCACATAGTGGCTCCAAGTGCTTTTGCAAGGAACTGGTATCTGAACCCGGGAAGATGAGGGTTAAAACCTGAAGCTGCAGACATATTGTGAGCGCAACAATGAGGACGAGCTGAACGTCACGTACGATGACTTCCACCAGCCATAATGAATGTTCCGGGTTGAGGGTAGTATTTGCATTTGTTTGTGAATCACTCATCTAGAAAAGCTTGACACCTATCAACGCCCACACCTCCAAGCCTCGCACTATCGCGTCGCTCGTTAATCCTGCTGCAATGGAAGTGAACAGCGGAAAACGAAAGCGAGAAGATGAACCGCTCCCGAGTATTACTTATCTCGTTGGAGATAGGTCTTTTGATAGACTTTTCAAGGGTACTCCCTCTATAACTAACTATAAGTGGCTTTGTACTCATCGCAGTATATACAGAACAATCTCTCGAAGAAATACAAACTGTAGTACGGCGAAAACTGCAGCTACCGTCAAACTCGACGGTAAAGCTAAAGCAGCTGCGTGGCGACAAGGTTATTGATTTGGATGACGGTAAACGCGCCAGCTCTGCGGTATGGCACCTCTTCTCTGACTCTCATTCTACTCCAGATGATGATTTCGATGCGTTCTCCGCGCGGGCAAGATTGATGAAGTTGGTTGATGTGGCAGTGGAGATATCAGTAAGCCCAATGGTTCAAGTGTAGTTGGCTCGTGTTTACCCGTTTAAGCAGGCCCCTCCTGCACAGGGGGACACATCTTCCGACAGCACGGTAGTTGTGTCAAAATCTTCTGAGACGGTCGTAGCGAAGAAGAAACGTAAAGCCAATAATGACCAGCCTCCTAAGGATGGCAACACGACTGTGGCACCCGAACCAAAGACTAAGAAACGGAAGACAGATAAACCCCCAGTGACTAAGCATACGGAGACTGCGCCAACTTCTGCGGAACCTGCGTCAGTCAGTGCTCCAGCAGAATTGTCACTGAAGCCCTCTGCGAAGTCCGAAGTCTTGATAAGCACCAAAGCGCCCCTCCCCACTGATGGAGAACCGCCGAAGAAGAAACCAAAAAATGCGAAGGCTGGGACGGCCAAGGATGCTGTAGAGAAGCCACCAAGGAAGACAAAGAAAGCGAAGGAGACCGAAAAGCCCACGGAGACCTCGAGCCTACCAATATCAGGTGATGATGCAGTCCCGGCTTCTGGTCTCTCAGAACCGCCAAAGAAATCATCAGGGACGAAGAAGATTGCCACAAAATCGTCGGCTCTTCAGTCTGGTAAGTATATGTTTCTTTTTCATACTTCTGGATGTTGAAAATTGTATCCTAAAAGCTGGAGTTGAGAAATCTGCGAACGATGCAGTTGACAGCGCAGCTGGCCCTGAAAGTACGCAGGAGTTGTATATATTGATTAAACGCATCTTGATTGACCACCTTCAGAAAAGAAGAAGGGCAAAGTGAAGGGTAAAGAAATTGAAAGTGAACCAGCTCCCGAGACACCCGGTTCGTCTTCGAGAGTCGTCAGAAGTTCCTTGTCATCAATGATTTTATCACAGCTCCGACAAAAGGCCGCAAGAAAGCTGCGATCGCGGGAGCTTCAGAAGCTCCAGCTCCGAAAGAAAGTGTGTGGTATCATACATTGATCCCGCGCTTTCTAATGTTCTACAGAGAAGACTAAGCAAAGCAAAGCAACAAAAGCCAAGGCTTCTGATGCAGATGGTGCGTAACTCATTCTGACAGCGGTCACCGTCTGACCAATGCTAGATCAATAGCTGGCCCAATTGTCAATCCAATAAATATTCAGGACATTGTGAATTCAATAGCACGTGCCTCGGAGGAGTTGGCTAAACAGAATAATACCAATACTGAGGTGAATTCGGTTAACACTTCCCAGCCGTCCATTTCACTGCCCCCCCCTGTAATTACGACCACGAAAGGTGGTGTGTCATCTATTCCGCTTTGCCATGCTTGCTCTGGTTCCTTTCATCCCCTGTATCAATGCCCAACGGTGTTGGCAGGCCAGGAAGCGATACAGAATAGAATTGAGGAATTGAGGAAAGCCGGGGCAAAGAAGTATCAAGTCACTATCAAAGATTTGGAGTCGTTGTTAAAGTCCCCTAGCGCTGCAGTGCCTTCCGCAAAACGCGGCGCTGCAGATACTGCGAAGCCATCACAGACTACGAAAGCAGATAAGGAGTCCCCACCTTCTTGGACGCCCCTTGTGCCAAGTCACTCGCTACTTTCAGAGGTGACTGTGGAGAGCCGCGACGAAGGAAGCAGTTCGGAGGAAGAAGACGAGATTGCTCAGGAACTGGAACAAGAACAAGAGGAGCATGGACCTGACCCCGGTCAGCGTTCGCTCGAAGACGTTGATTTGGACGCTATCATGCGAGGTCCGGGGCCAATGAAGCTTCGTAACTTGATCGATACCTTGGAGTCGAAAGAGGATGAATCAGACACCGAGAACGAAGGCGACGACATCGGGCCTCTGGAAGTGGAAGACGATGGCGAGAATGAGCGGAAATACCGTCGATTATCGCAGCGCTGGGTCAATTCATCTGAAGAGGAAGGGGATGAAGACGACGAGAGCGAGCAGCGCTCAATACCCCCGCCGACACAAAAGGTTTCCGAGCCGTTGCCTTCAACTGCCACACCAAAACCTTCTGCAGGTCCTGATGAGATGTCCAATACTACAGACCCGGCTGGAAGCAAGAAAGACGGTGTGCAAGGAGGTGCTTTTCACACGGATGCCACCCGTGTTTCTGTGTCAAAGGTTCAGGATAGCGACAATGACTCGGCCAAAGATGCTGGGGAAGCACCTGTGGCTGCAGACCTGGACAAAGCATCGGATACATCACCTGCCCGTGGTGCTGCGCTCTCTCGTAACAAAGTCGACACTAACGATGACCCTATTGAACCAGCCGACGATCTGATGGAATTCCAGCACGTGATATCATCTGATAATGATCCCATCGAAGTTATAACACCGCCAACTCAGAAAACTGCAAGACCACCTTCCCCAGCAGCCCACTCGACTCCAAAGTCCGGCGTATCAAAGAGGATGAAGAATCGACACGGGCAACTTCTCAGCCCGTCTCAGTTTCCTGTACGTGCTGATGAATCCAAGGTCAATGGATTCCAGAGAGCAGGCGCTGAGGGGAAGAAGAATACTGCCACTCGGACAGGCAATGATAAACCGTCGATCCGCGGCGGTAAGGGAGCAACACGGACAGATCTCCCTCGCATCTCTTCGCAACCAACGAAAAGGAGCACAAATTTGAACGGCCATGGCGTGACACCGTTACATTCGCAACCTTTACCGAAACCTCCAGCTTCTCTTGCCACATGGTCTTCCCTTCGTGTACCTTCGCCATCTATTTTGGTGGAAGATAGTTCTCCCATTGGACAGAGTGGCAAACTTGCTGGCAAAGCATCTGATCAAGACAGCCCGGGAGAACATTCTGATGATGATTCAGCAGGCAAAGCCGGCGGGTCACCTTTCACGTTGCCGGCGAGCCAAGTACCCTTTCCACACTCGCAGTACAAGGCATCTGTTCAAAAATACATGGAGGTAGTTCCGGACTCGGAATCTGAATCCGAGGCGGAGGCCGGAGGCAAGAAGAGGACGACGACGAATACTAAAACGCGCAGATCGATACCACCCTACCGCAGACTGACGGATATCGCGAGTCAAGCAACGCTTTTCTCGCAAAGTAATCCTGTCGCACCTCGTGCGGGCACCATAGTTAATGGTATGGGAGGGCAGGTGGATGATGATGATGATGACGACGATGACGACGATTCGTCATCCGAATCTGATAACGAGGGCCAGTCACATATCCCACAAGCGCAAAGGGCAGGGAAGCTCCGCTCGAAAAAGACTAAGGGACTTTTGGCGTCTATATTTTATTGACGATCTCATTCGCGGCCATCCATATTACTTTTTTCTTCTACATACTTGCGCTGATAGAGTCCGTTTCTCTTTTGTGTACAGTTAATGAAGCAAACAAGAGTATCCTAGGAAAATATACAGACTTGTCATCACCAATTCGCTGTCTTGAGTGACGAGCGGTGAGAATGTAGAAACACTAATATCCTAATGACTCGGTCCATGGTCGTGAGAGATAGAATCCTCTGACGGCACGAAGGATACTCGTGGGGTATCTCGAAACCCGCGGCTGAGCCCTCGGCTGCCCTCCAGAGTATGTCCAGCACTTGCTAGTGAGAAATTGATTCTCTCTCATTTTAGACGTACTTGGCTTTGAATATCAGGTCACTGGGCGATTTTGAGATTTTCAAATAGGAGTATAACATACGAATTAAGTAAACGATGATCACGCGCTTTTGCGACAAACAATGGCAACAATTCGCCAGGTTACTATATAAACACCGTCGTACTCATCTTTTTTTTTCACAGTTCCATCTGACAGTCAGCAATCTTCAGCTGCAGATCCCCTTTTGAGCGTTCAAGCTCGTCTATGATCTTCACCCAGAACACACGCGACGAGTAAGTCTATTGCTTATAAGCTCGATCAATCCTGCTGATGATTTCGACATTTAGCTACCTCGGCGACCTCGTATTCTCCCTCATCGGATTCTGATCAATAAATCATGTTTGCTCGATCCATCATTCGTTTACCAACAACTCTCTCCCGGGGTTTCGCAACACACACAGGCCCTCTCTCAGCCTTACCAGCAGTCTTGCACCTTAAAACAGGCCAGTCCTTCCATGGCCGTTCATTTGGTTCTCCCAGAAGCATCTTCGGCGAGACCGTCTTCTCAACGTCCATCACTTCTTGTATGTCGAAATATTGATCATCTAATGCGCGGCCTTCTCATAATCTCACCCTTTAGACACTGAGTCTATGACTGACCCTTCTTACCGTGGTCAAATTCTAGTATTCACCACGCCTCTCATTGGCAACTACGGTGTTCCATCCAACAACGCACCAATCGATTCCCAGGACGTTGGTGTGATCCTGGAGTCTCAAGGCATCCAATGCAGTGCTATTGTAGTAGCTGATGTCGCAGAAAAATTCTCTCATCATTCCGCGGTGGAATCACTAGCGTCATGGTGCCGCCGATCCAACATTCCCGCCATCACTGGCGTAGACACACGTGCAGTCACCCGCCTCCTTCGTGACCAAGGAACCACACTCGGTCGCCTTGCCGTTGGTACTGATGCTTGTGCTCCTGCACCTGCCTCCGAGCAATATTGGGACCCCGCAGTTGAGAACCTTGTTGACCAGGTGTCGACAAAGTATCCCTACCAGCTGAACCCTACTGGGGACATCAAGATCGCAGTCCTTGACTTCGGTGTCAAGGCTAATATTCTGCGTTCTCTCGTTCGCCGGAACGCTGCAGTCACGGTATTGCCATGGAACTACAATTTTAACACCATTCGTGACAAGTTTGATGGTCTATTCCTGACCAATGGTCCCGGAAACCCGAGCCAATGCATGGAAGCCGTTTCGATACTTCGCAAGACACTTCAGGAGTGGAACAAGCCCGTGTTTGGGATCTGTATGGGACATCAGATTATCGGTATGGCTGCCGGCCTTGAGGCATACCGCATGACGTTCGGCAACCGCGGGCACAACCAGCCTGTCCTTGCTCTCGCATCAGCAGGTTCCATTAAGGCTGGGAGGGTTTATGTTACCAGGTATGCATTCTTCAGTTATCATGAGTCATGGATGGTGCTAAATGGCGTCATCAGTCAAAATCATCAATATGCTCTTAAGCTGTCTGACCCCTTCCCGCAAGGCTGGGAACCATTCTTCATCAACTGCAATGACTCTTCTGTAGAGGGCATCAAGTCCACCCCTGAGTCCGGAAAAAAGGTGTGGGGTGTTCAATTTCATCCCGAGAGCGCCGGCGGCCCCCTCGACACAATTGAGGTCTGTTGTTATTAGTCGTCTAACTCGGCCGTTGCTAATTTATCGTGTAGATGTTCACGGACTTCGTCGATGAATGCCGTATGCATAAAGCAGAGAATGTCAAGATGCCTGTGGCCGCTACCATTGATGTTGCCAGCTTCATGGTGGAGCAGCCTGCCCGTGTCCAAGTTACTGCTTGATTGATCACTTTATTCTACCATAAAAAAAGTTCTCATTTATACGTGACCAGATACGGTGTACGATACTTATTTCTGAAGGTGATTGATGGGTCTTGTTTTGTACTTGTATTTCGTGGAATTCGCGATAGCTTGGCAATTGTATAATTTGTATTTTGTGGTTGGAAACTTGCCTAATCGGGTGTTCATGGATTCGCCGTTGCATGCACGCAACCCGTATTCCTGGATCCAGGAAGTCTAGTCATCAATCATCGACCATGAATTTCCTTGACACTTATGGGCTGACTGGGACGGGTACGAACACGCCGCCCGTGAATGCGCTCCCAGAGCAGAGCCTCAACGAAGAGGTTTCTCAGGTCATTGGCCAGCTCGGAAAGTTCTGGGGAGGATTCAGGAAGCAGGCACGTTCACATACGCTCTATGATTGCGATAATTGAAACTCACGCCAGAGATCTAATAGAGCGAAACTGCGTTCGCAACTGCGCGCAAGGATTTCGGCGAGGTGGTCACACAAGCACAGAAGGAGCTTGGCAAACTTGCTATATCAACCGAAACCCCTGCTGATGATGCCCACGCTAATGAAGCTGAGGATACCTTCGACAAAGAGAGCGAGAGCGAGTGTGGCACAGCTCCTGAGACGCCCACTGCAGAATCGCACAGCGCAGAAGGCTCAATTTCGATTTCACAATCATTCTTTGCTCGCCTCCAATCTTCGCTTCCGCCTAATATTGTCTCGAATGTCCAAGCTCAGCTTCCTGAAAGTCTTAAACACCCACAAAGCATCGATCTGTCTCAATTGCGGACGAACGCTAACTACCGAATTTCAGCGCGTCCAGGGGGTGACGCGTGCGCAGGCGGAGGAATATGTCCACAAGAGCGAACATCTGCTGCGGGAAGCTATGAAGGAAGCCAGTGAAGCCCTGCGAGATGCGGTGAAAGTAATTCCACCAGAGGAGGGCGAAGGATACTCAAATCAGGGTCTGGTTTGGGATGGATCTGACGTATGGATGCTACCGATGGAAGGAGGGGATGTGAAGGGCAAGGGCAAGGAGACGGATTCGGGCGTTTCGTCGAGGCGGCAAAGTGAAGATGCTCGTCAGGCTGTTGCGACGCGCGCACAAGCGCTGTTGAAGCAGCTGAAGAGTAATCCTGAGATCATCAAGCTTGATCCCGATGCTGATGCGGGGAGGGAGACGTTCCATGTTTGGGTGTCTGAGGCACAGAGCAAGGATGAACACCCTGGTACTAAATTTTGGTCAGAACGCATCGCAAGGACGCTATCTGATACAAATGATGGCCAAACGCTGGAGGAGACGTTCAATGCACTAGGTACGTTGACTATTATGATTCTCATTGTCGACGCTGCTTATCGTTGCCTCAGTACCTACCATTCTTTCTGACGATGAATTCTGGACACGATACTTCTTCCGCGTATATCAGATCGAACAAGAAGAAATGAGACGCAAGGCTCTTATTCACGGTACATGACTTTTTGTCTTTTGCAACACGACATTTTATTGATTGATACCTTCACAGGAGCACACCAGACCGAAGAAGATTTCAGTTGGGAGGATGACGACGACGAATCCGTTGCTCCTGAATCTAAATCCATCGGAGCTCTCGAGTCGTCGACCCTATCACAACGTACGCTGGCACCGAAAGCGGCAGACACGAGCGACGTCCAATCGCTCCCAAACTCTTCGCAATTCAATACTCCTATGACCATGAGTCCTAGGGAAAGTAGTGAGGACAGTTATGATGTCGTTTCTGGTAACGTCAGTGCTGCGGGAGATGCACAGGAGCATGTACAGAAGGATGAGGACGATGAAGAGGAGAGCGACTGGGAGTGAGATCTTGGTGTTCTTATGTAGTTGTATATAAGTAGTTTGGAAACTTTGGATCAGCCTATAATACCTCGGATGTTGAGTACTATTTATACCAAATTTATACGCTTAACTAAATCAGGCGAACCCTAAAACAGCTCTCCTTGATCTCTCCCCAAACTGAATCTGGGTTTCGCCTTCCACTTGCCGATTCCTCAATTACTGATGCGGAATGAGTTTTATCCATGAAAAGCGTACCAGGTCGCGTCTTCTTTCGCGCAACACCACTATCAACCTCCTTCGCTTCTTCTGGGTCGTTCTTGTCATTTGGTGCGAATTCGGTGTATTTTTTTACAGTTTATCAGATTGCAAGTGGCCAGACAAGGAGTTGAAGGAGGTGAGTTCGTCTAACTGAATAGTCCTGTCCTCGTAATGACACGTGGTCAAGGCTGGGTCAACAGAAAAGCCAACTCGAGTCCTTTTGATTGCTGACCCCCAACTCCCAAACCCGAGGCGTTCAGGGATTTCGTGGCTTGACTATGATGCATCCTCTACTAGATACTTACGCAAAGGCTGGAGCGTCGTCACTCGTCTGCACCCTCACGTAGTCGTATGGCTAGGCGACGTGCTTGCCTCTGGACGCTACGTCACGAATGAAGACGAGTACGTGTCATTATTGCAACCACCCGCTTATATGCGCTGAACGTTTTCGATAGATACAAAGACTACGTAGATGAATTCAAGGGGATATTCGCCACGGACAAATCCGTGCCAAACTATTTTGTTCCAGGGAATAGAGATGTTGGGTGCGTACTTGACTCGTGACGTGGTCATTCGGGAATTTGGTGACCCGGCCTTTGTTTTTCAGTCTCGGAGAATCTTCTGCGTCCTCAAAGAATGCGCGAAAATACTTTACCGAGTACTTTGGTCCTGTGAATCAGGAGATCGATTTGGCTGGCCATAGGCTGATCTTCATCGACGCCCCTGGATTGGTTGATGAAGATTATCGCCGACATGGAAAGGGCAAGCAGTATGAGACTTGGACACCAGCTGTGGGCGGTCCAATCGAGTTCATCGCATCCGTTGCCATCAGGGGTGGGTGCTGTCTTGCATTTCTGGATGTATGTTGCTGATGTCGGGATTATTAGCATCATCTAGCCCCATCATCTTATTCAGCCATATCCCATTGTCACGACCAGCAAGTACATCGTGCGGGCCACTGCGTGAAAAAGGCTCTATACGCGCTAGTGCAGGTCATGGGTATCAGAACATGCTCGGTAAAGAAACCACTAGATTTGTTCTGCACACGCTTCGTCCAGCAGTTGTCTTCAGGTACGTGCATAAAGATACATCAGCCGCTTATTCCCGTGTTTAAATTATATGCCCCTATACAGCGGTGACAATCGAGATTATTGCAACATGACCCACCAACTTTCCGCATCAGATGCCAATGTACTGGCAAAGACCACCGCCCGGGAAGTGACTGTGAAATCATTTTCCCCATCCAAGCACATCCGACGCCCGGGTTTCCAGCTCCTCTCTCTCATCCCACCAGACTCTGCGGTATCGCACCATGGTTCTACGTTCGCAGATACGCATTGCCTTCTGCCCGATACCTTCCGCATATTCAATTCGATATACCTACCAGCTCTCGTACTCACCGCCATCGTGCTCCTATACCTCAACATCTCAACCGGCCGTCATCGTCGCCGTTTCTCTACTCTCTCGCCTGTCTCTGCGAGTAGGAGTAGACCAAGTTCCCCATCGCAAGGCCCAGAATCTGCAATCTGGGCTAACTGGTCCCCGCGGAAGTCGAGTGGTCCGACGAGTCCGGCGGTGGCACTTCCGCCTTCAGTTACAGTGCGTGTCCCTGCAAAAGAGATATTTACATTCGGTGCCTTGTCGCCATCAGCCTCTGGATCACCGCTTGATTCTCCACTCCTGAGTCCTATCCCGCTTTTCCACGCCGGGCACGAGGACGAAATGAACCCCGCACATTATCCTTCCCAGCATCACAGCGACCATGTCTGGCCTTCGGGTGAGGACGTTCACGAAGCGCCATCGTTCATTCCCTCACCGAGCGCACGTCGATCAGAGAGGAAATGGCCATCATGGAGCTGGAGCTTCGTATTCGGAGGGAGGCGGCGACGGATAACGATTGCGCTGCCGACGTGGGGGGAGATGAAAATGTTTTGCGCGTCTGACAGCAGCGACAGTATGTACAGAGGTAAGCGGAGGGGCATGTTGTGGAGGTTGGGAGGCGACAGCATGAGTGTTGCACTGCCTGCTGTTGTTACGTGGGCTTTGATTGGCTGGCTGTTCTTTTGAGACAGTGGTGCTTGCGATTGATGTTAGACTATCTACTTACATGAATTTCGACCCGTATAATGATTGACGTAGTGCACAATGTATCACAGTACTCGGCGCGGACGTTTTGACATGATTATGGTGAATTTTGGACCACGTCAACATTGTCAACATTGTATACTACAAACAGACTGGGTAGCGATGTCGAAATGTTACATCTATGACAAGCGCGCTGGTACACTAATACAACCAAGTCACCATGTAGCCCGCAACTCCTAACACTGTAAATAAAGTAAGCCGTTTGTCGATTCTCAAACGAAACAAGACTTACGATATCCAGTAAACTTTTCAAATGGCGTATGGAAGTACACGCTGGTGGTGGAGATGGCGAAGAACCAGATTGCGATGAGCACAATATTGAACACGACTGCACAAGCATGCGGAAGCGACCATTTCCTCGCGCACAAAGACAGCCTTATCTGGTCCACCAAAAATAGGACAGACATAGTGAGGAGGAAGACGTGGCCTGACACATCATGTCCCTTCCTCAGGCGAGGGACCACCGGCCACCTATCATCCGGCGCCCAAACCGACGACCCAACAAACAAGAACGGGTGCGTCTCTTGTGATACGGCTGTCCGCGTGAGACAGAATTCATACGGGACGGTGAACACGGCACCCGATTGGAGGGTGGCCGTACACTCGCCCCCCGAAGCTGCTGTGAGCCTTTCGAGTAGGGCGGGTCCGAAGAACCAGCTTGTGAACACGAGCCATATGGCTGTTTCTACGCCCCACTTGACTACTCTGTGTACTGTCTGCTTGTGGGGTGGGCTGGTGAGCCAGAGCGTGAGGAAGGCCGCGGAAGTCCAACCCCATGCGCGTTTGATGAAGTATGAGTTTAGGATGTTGGCTTTGTTGGCGAAGTAGTGCGTTGCATGTAGGTGGTGAGGGAGATGTGTGAGGGCGGGATCGGAGGTGTCGAGATAAGTGTCGTATGCGACTGAGTAGAGTGTTCCGAAAAGGAGGATCGCTGTGATTCCCCCGAATGCTGCATAACGCACATCAACTGACATTTCGTGGAATGGTATTACAAGATCTGGGTCTAGTAGGCTGAAGAGGTTAAAAAGATCGTACACAGTGAACGTGGTGACATTGATTTATAACTGCAGCATGCACGTAAGTACTTCGGCTGAAGGGGCCAAAAAAAAAAGCAATGCACGTGCTCAGTGCTCACTAACACTAGTACGCGACGCGTCACCGCAGTATTGTGTTTCAGGAGAACATACCAGAACGGAGTAGAAAAATATTCAAAATGACTACCACGGTCCACTAACACCCCAGGCATTAACCCAACACATGTGCACGAAAGCCAGCAGGAGTCACTGCGAGCTATTGAATTTCAGCATACGATATAACACAAACGTCCAGCCTAGGCTGCCTATAATTGTCCATACAAAGCATAAATGAAACTAATTCACAACCACAAAAATGCAGCTACAATATTTCTACCATCTTGACGCCCATCATGTCATGAACAGCAGTCGTGCTCTTGACTTCTGCGGTGATAATACGATCCGACGCGATTCTCTTGTACTCCAAACCACGCTGCTGCGCAAGTAAAAGTGCTTTAAAAGGTTGTCCAAGGCGAACGATCAGCTTGAAGGCTCGCGAACGGGAGTCCAAGTCATCCTGCTCCTGCTCTTTCACGCTCTGTGCACCGTTTGCAAAGTCGGGCAGCCCGAAATCATGACGATTCCACGGACAGACCAGCAAGAATGCCTGCGAAGTGGGCCGTGTGGGCGAGAATTGAACCAGCTCGTCTCCTGTGACTATTGATAGGTCTCGCAGCCCGTCTGCTTTGACTCTGTATGTGAATGGTGTTCCCTGGTCTTCATCGCGCTTCTTTTTGACTTCTGTGATAGCAAATGTAATGCAAGGCAGATGTAGTCTGGAGTTCGCGAAACGCGGTGCGCTGAGGCTGTCACAAAGGGTATACAGTTTCAAAGCTGACTCCACAGCCACAGTCTTTTGCAGCCTGGAGACATAATTCTGCACCTCCTGTGCAGATAGAGACGGTCGTGTGTGTGGTGGAGTGGTATACGAGGCGATTACAGCTGGGAGACAGCTATTGAACTTGGATGGTTTTCCAACCCAGTCCAGGACAGTAATGTCGCCCGACCGAGCGACAATTTCTTGCAAGAGCCGACAGATCGCGAGTTCCTTCGTCTCGCCGTAGAGTACAGGCAGTTGGACACCAAAAATGCCGAACAATGAGTATGCAATGTCTTCCGGCAGCGTAGTGACACGGAGTGACGCCCATCGAAATTTCTCTCGAGCACCTTTCATCCCGGGATTAAAGGTAACGAGAGCGCGTGCCTTTATGCCTGTTGAACGCTCCAATTCGTTCATGATAGTGGGTGACTTCTTGTGGTTGGGAGAGCGGTCATTGATATATAAGTCCCAATCTTTGTGGTAGAAGAGAATGACGTTAGGAGCCAGGAACTCCTGAACAGTCCATCCTCGTGTGGTCCAAACACTGCTTGCCAGTGCGCCCGACTTTACGGCAGGCGAGACGTCCGACAAATAGACCATCGTAAGAGCTGAGTGGCGATACCAGACGAACATGGAGTTGACTGATCGTTGAACCTCAGCAGTGTTCTTCTGGTCGATACAACATGTATCGCTCCATGCCCAACGATACCCCATGCTACGAGCCTTCTTGCAGAACATTTGCAGCTTCTCTATGCCGGCAACTCCCTTCAACTCGTACACGACCTTGCCTTGGATGTCGTGCAGCATGGGCTCCTCTTTATCCCACCTATGTGATAACATGACCCAACCGAAGTACTTCGCGACCGCCTTCTTGATGGGCTTCGTTTGGAGGGGGATATGCGTCATCGATGAATACAGAAGCTCGCTGTACTCTTTGCTTTGCATGAAGTCATTTCTCTGTGCATCTTCATTGCATAAACGCCCAGTGGACACGTTAAGTAGACGAAGCGGCGCCTTTTCCAGATGAGTATCAATAGCGCCTTTGATAGCTTGCTCTGCTTCAGTATACTGCTGACGCAGCGCTGGAGAAAGAGTTAGTTGAACGAATGGTAGTGCAAGAGTTACTCAAGACTTGCCTCGCATCTGGGAGTCAGGAGCATTTTTGAGGTTCAACTTGGAGAGCATGCTTTCAAATGTCTCGTTTGCTTTCTTGTGTGATTGTTGTGCACCACGAAGTGCTGCATGCCGCAGTTCGGACCCGTGACGAGAAGAAGGACTGAGTTTGATGACCTGCGTTGGAGTAATCAGTACAGTCAACTAAAAACATGATAGATATAATCTGCACCGCGTCGGCGTCAGCAAGGGCCTGCGCATAATGTTTTTGCGCCAAATAGGCCTTACTGCGGCGTTCAAAAAAGGAGTCGTGTGAGGGATCCAGCCTGATCACAGCCGAATAAAGTTCAACAGCCATCTCATAGTCGCTCGCGGCAATGGCCTCATCTGCCTTTGCGACACATCGTGCGATACAGTCTCGCTTGAAGGCTTATCGATATTAAAATGAATCCCGATGTTCAGGTTGTCCGATATAATAACACACTTACTGGAAGACCATTCAAGGCAGCCGCTCTTCATATCGTCATCAATCATGCTCATCATATATTGAAAAGATTTGACTGCTTCGGTCACTCGATCAGCACGGAGGAGTGCGTCGCATCGTCGTTGATTGATAGTTCGCCATAAAGAATCAAAGTCCCAGCCAAAAAGCTGTTCGACGCATATCGTCCATGAGTAAAGCTGTCCTCGACGGCTTTGTAAGGACATACCAGTGTGAATATTTTCCATCTAGGTTCCAAAAGTGTGGCAGGCGGGAACAAACCTGTTATGGTGGCAATACTGGCTGTGAGTTTATCAGCGGCTTTGCTGTACTGCCCATTCTGGAAAGTAATCATTGCAAGCTGTACATGCAGATATGCCTGAGGAGCGTATTTCAGAATAAGAAAATTCATCCGGTCTGACATAAAACCCACATCTACCATGCTGCACCGAAGTGCATCCGAGTGTTGGTCAGTGATGGCAAGACGTTGAACTCGCCGTATTGCTTCATTATGGCGACCGGCATTGAAAATTACAACAGCCTAGACAAAGTCTTAGTACGACAGACAGACTATGAACACAACAATGAGCGTACCTTGATCAACAGTAAAAGATCAATGGTAACTGGATCACGATCAGAAAATGTGATAGCGAGGTCGAAAGCTTCCATCGCATCCCATAGTTGTCCATTGCCGCAGAGGGCGATGCTCTTGGAAATATATCCCCATAACGAGGGCTGGGTGGCAATTGACTGCAACATATCCGTTATGAACAGACTACTAACGGTATGCAGAGGGTTTGACCTTGACTGCGTCTTGAAGCGCATTATCCCATTCAGAACTCCGTGCTCTGACCACTGAACGAATGGCATAAGAATCATATTTGTTGCCATCTGCGTCGATCTCTTGGGTTAGCAGCTTTTCGGCAGTATGCAGGTCACCAGTAACAGATGCATTCCAGACAGTCGGCAAGACTTTGATCTGTATCAAGGAAGTTCACGTTGCATGATAGGGAGACACGTTAAGGGCCTGAAAAGCTCACCTTGATATCATCGTATAATGGGTGTCCATTGATTTCATTGGCTTTGGCGTGGGTCTTGAGTTTTGTCCCATGTTCGGAGTTGGGTGGTGGGTGGTTCAGTGGTTGGGGCCCAGGATGGGGATCATGGTTGTTACTGGGGAGTGGAGGTTTTGGCAGTTGGCATGGACGAGGAACATTGTTGCCACCTTTCCTGGGCGGCGGGCGGTTTGGTAGTTGACGTCTGGGAGGAGGATCATTGGGTCCTGGGTGGTTTGGTGGTTGACGTCCGGGAGAAGGATCACTGGGTCCTGGGTGGTTTGGTGGTTGATGTCTGGGATGGTCGTTGTGTCCTAGGCGATTTGGTGGTTGACGTCCGGACAAGTCGCTGTGTGCTGGGCGATCTGGTAGTTGAGGAAGATCCTTGCGTCCTGGGTGGTTTGGTGGTTGACGTCCGGAAAAATCACTGTGTGCTGGGCGATCTGGTAGTCGAGGAAGATCCTTGCGTCCTGGGTGGTTTGGTGGTTGATGTCTGGGAGGATTGCTGGGTCCTGGGTGGTTTGGTGGTTGAGGAGGATTGTTGGGTCCTGGGCGGTTTGGTGGTTGGCGCCTTGGATGGGGATCATTTTTCTTGCCATCTTTCTTGTGTGGTGGGAGGTTTGGTGGTTGATGCACGGGATGGGGATCATCGTTCCTGCCATCTTTCTTGTGCAATAGGCGGTTTAGTGCGCGTATGGGGTGCCAGTGGGGGTGGTCATTGCCGATATCTTTGTTAGTATGCTGTGGGTGAGTTGGTGCTTGGTGTCTGGGGTTGTTGTTGCCGACATCTTCATTATGCGGGTGATTTAGTGCTCGGTGTCTGGGGTGGGGGTCGTAGTTGCTGTTGACAACTTTGTTACTAGGTTGTGGACGGTTTGGTTGCCAGTGGCGTCCGGAATATGGGTCATCATTGTTGCCATCTTCGCTATCATTCTCTTGCGTCGGCAGCAACTCAGTGGTATGCGCGTTTGAGACGGTCGTGAATATCTGTATGAAGTACTTAGCTCAAGTTGCAATGAGTACACACATTGACAGCAAAAGCTTACATTATGTGATGGTTGTCCATTGGACCTGGAGCCAAAGTTAGAGCCACCGCCAGAGCCCTCATCACTTCTAGAGCGTTCGTCACTCCCTGAGTCTTCGTCACTTCCAGAGCCTTCATCAACAACCTCGTCTCCGCGGACTTCTTCATCAGCATCTTCGTAACGGTCTTGATCAGCGACTTGGTGAGCATATTCGCCATCATAATAATCTTCCCCTCCAGCAGGGTCTTCACTCTCAGAGTCAGTGCGTTCACCCCATCGAGGGTCGTCATCCCTGTCAAGTTCTTCGCCCTCCGGGTCATCGAGGTCTTCGCCCTCCGAGTCATCAGGGTCTTCACTCTCAGAGTCAGGGCGTTCACCCCATTGAGGGATGTCATCCCTGTCGAGGTCTTCGCCCTCCGAGTCATCAGGGTCTTCACTCTCAGAGTTAGGGCGTTCACCCCATTGAGGGATGTCATCCCTGTCGAGGTCTTCACCCTCCGAGTCATCAGGGTCCTCACTCTCATCAGGGCGTTCATCCCTGTCGAGGTCTTCACCCTCCGAGTCATCAGGGTCTTCACTCTCATCAGGGTGTTCATCCCTGTCGAGGTCTTCACCCTCCGAGTCATCAGGGTCTTCACTCTCATCAGGGCGTTCATCCCTGTCGAGGTTTTCACCCTCCGAGTCATCAAGGTCTTCACCCCCATCAGGGTTATCATCCCTGTCGAAGCCTTCGCCCTCTGAGTCATCAAGGTTGTCGTCCCTGTCAAGGTCTTCACCCTCCGAGTCATCAGAGTCCTCACCCTCATCAGGGCGTCCATCCCATTGAGGGTCGTCATCCCTGTCGAGGTCTTCACCCTCCGAGTCATCAGGGTCTTCACTCTCATCAGGGCGTTCATCCCTGTCGAGGTCTTCACCCTCCGAGTCATCAAAGTCTTCACCCCCGTCAGGGTCTTCATTGTAAAGGTATTCGTCGTCGGAATGTTGTTGCATTGTGGATCTTGTGTGTAGTGGGTAGCGCAGATTTTCTCCTTATAACCCTACTCAGGCGCTTATCCGCGATTCCTTCTTTAGCTCTGTAAAACTTGAATCCCACAATAATATTGCTTTTTCATCATCTCTACCCCCTTAACTTGACGTTTTTCTTACCTCGGTATTACCACGCTGCCACAGCTTCCATCAACGCCCCCTCCCTTTGTGAATACCTATTAACCCCTTCATTCTGTGCACCGCCAACCTGCTGAGAAGAAGTAAGAACATATGTTTGGTACAATCACGCACTGCGGTCAATTCTGTGACCATATACTATTTCTTCTGCTCAGTATCTCAGTTCATCTTGCTTTGCCATGGTGACCCAAAGATCCGTTAGGCGTTATAGATGACGGGACACCACCGTGACATAGAGAGGCGGCCAAGGCACGTCACCGGTGTTTGCTGATTTATCTGCTTGTTCATGCGATAACGAACCATATGGTCCATACCTTCAATCAACTGGGCTGGTGCTAAATTATGTCCATGAAGGTGACATGTAGGATCAACACCATAACCGTCATCTGTCACTCGATAACAACACACCTTCAGGATATGTATATGTAGATGATTATACCGTCTCGAGGGTTTGACAAAGAAACATAGCCTGAGCAACTCGTCTAGGAAAAAGAGGCTCAGGGTAGTCTGAAATTGGCCATATGAAAAGGGTGGCCTTATTTCTCCTGATAGATACCAAAGGAGCGATGGTGGCAGTAGTGAGGGCATGTATCATGCGCTGATGGAGGTCACGGTAGTACTGACTGTACATCGGACTCTCAGGCTTGGAGATGTCTGAGAGAGTATGAGGTCCGTGGAGATTGGTGTACTATGATCTACGTTTGGATTGATCACAATCTACCCAAATACAGGCAAAAGAGATATGCAGTACTAACTCGTATGCCGACAGTCTGAGAAATTGATCTTAGTAGGAGACACAGTTCTGCTAATAGTTTATGTAATACGACATTCGTTAGCAATGCAACATCCGAGTCATTTATCATTAAAACTTGTCCTGGCCAAATCCTATTTTCCAGATTACTTCGGAACATCAACTCAACAAAATCAATGATCTGCGTGCTCCCCACACAGTACTGTGGTTGGTTTGGATCGTTTTACGTGCTATGGCAGTGGACGTGTCTCCATCAGTCAACTTCACCACCCTGGAAAGCAATGGATGTCACACATGTTCTCTCGTCAGACCTGACCACGATAATCTTAGCATTATATTCTCGAACACTGAGGATCAGACGCGGCTCTAGTACAAACATCTGCAACACTTGGGCAAAATGTCAGAAGGCCGTTATAGTCAAAAACTCCCGCAGAAGATGAGTACTGTAGACATGATGAGGAGTGGCCAGATGCAGCCTGAGATGTTATTCACAGGTTAGCACACCCATATATTCAGAGACAGTGCACCAAGAGGCAAGCCACCCATGGTAGCAAGCTAACCCAATTGGTTGACCTGGTCAGCGTTCACGAACGTGTTTTACAACAACCCAGACCGCATGAAAAGAGGCAAGGGTCTTGGGCTCGTGACCAGCCTGGCTCATACCGTGACAACGGAGATCTCACATATGCCATAGCGGTGGAAAATTCTTGTAACCCAGATCTGCCCCGTCGGCTGCAATTTAATGTATAGTTCCTTCATCTTCATTTCGTCATTACTCATTCAATTTTATAGCAACCTTCTGAGTTGCTATCTGGAAAGGTGGCCTCTCTATCCATAACCAGGCCTTCGTTGTGGTCATGAAAGAGCCTTGTCGATTCAATTCCGTCGCTTAGGCTGTGTTTCTTAAGTTCATTAATTATAAGTATGTTTGAATCCTGGTTTGTTCATACATTCATTTTGCTTAACTTCTGCGGTGATACTACTATGATCCAATGTGATTATCTTGTACTCCAAACCATGCTGCCCAAGTAAAAGTGCGTTAAAAGGCTGTCCAAGGCGAACGATCAACTTAAAGGCTTGCGAACGGGAGTCCAAGTCATCCTGCTCCTGTTCTTTCACGCTCTGTGCACTGTTTGCAAAGCCGGGCAGCCCGAAATCATGACAACTCCACAGACAGACCAGCAAGAATGCCTGCGGAGTGGGCCGTGTGGGTGAGAATTGAACCAGCTTATCTCCCGTGATTATTGATAGGTCTTGCAACCCGTCTGCCTTCAATCTATGTGTGAATGGTGTTCCCTGGTCTTCATCACGCTTCTGTTTGACCTCTGTGATAGCAGACGTGATGCAAGGCAAATGTAGTCTGGAGTTCGCAAAACGTGGGACACTGACGTTGTCAAAAGAAAAGGACTGCTGACATTGACAATACTGAGGAAAGAGTCTAGAGACAAAGTAGAGTAGGATAAAGACCAACGTGCATGAGAAACGTGAAACATATATACCTCGGCCATACGAAAAGGGTTGCCTCAGGCCTGGTTACATATTTCTCTTGATAAATATCAAAATAGCGACAGTGGTACGGAGAGTATATGTGCTGGTAGAGGTTGGGTGACCCAACTTGGTAGCATCTGGCTATCATCAGTAAAGTCCAATTTTCTCACAGAGGTCACAAACTTGGGGTCTTGCGACAGCGAGTCACAGAGCCTCACAGTTTGCACGGGTTCACAGTATACAGTGATACAGCAGTTCCAGTCCGAATCCACCCACAGATTTCAACATGTATTATGGTTTGTGAAAACTCAGAGTCTCAAACGTGCTACTACTGGCACCACAAACATAGTAGTGTAGTACTATTGATAATTAGTATATACTTGTTACTAGTACCGGTACCGGCGCAAAAGTAGCAACACAATTCAACATGAAGTTCGAGGCTCACTGGCACTACTAGATAGTGACTGAATCAATTGAGAACACAAATTGTATACATGAGGTTTCAACATAGTAAGCTTTGCATACAACACATAGTACTAGGAATAGTAACGATGACAGGACAGCATAACACAACACGATGAAAATATCAACACCCCACAGTATACCCATTTAATCAAGTTGAATTATGGGGCGCCAGCGATGCGAGACACCCGATGTTGTTGCTGTAAAGAAGTTAGAAATCAATATTAGCATAGAGTGCGTATCACACTTACCACACGAACGTGATCCACCACCTTGTTCCTGAGGGATACGACTAGGAGGGACAGACCAACCATGCACGTTGAAAATGATCCTCATAACACCCAGCCCGAGATCTGTATCATCTCAGCAGCTTCTGCTCGAAATTTGAGTAGGCTTGCGAATGCCTTGTTTTCTCGCACTACACAATCTGCGAGTGCCTTCTGAGCCCGGTAAACATCATGCTTGGCTCTCACAAGATTCATCATAATATTTGCCTCATATTCAGTTGAGTCTTGGACAGACTGTATTGAAATGTAAATTGTGCAAGAATGATGGACAACACAGACGACTCACTATATCATTCACAGCTTCAAGAACTTCATATAGGTTGCGTATGCCACTGACATCATGAGTGTCATTATTATCTTCACTGGCGTGTGAGTGAGAACCCGTGTGAGAGCACGAGGCACTTGCTGACAGTGATCGCAAAGCACTAAGATCAAACTTGAGCGGCGAAGATAACATGAAGAAAAGAACAAACTGGCGGAAAATGCCGGACCATATGCATAGTAGTACTATGTACTGCGTGCAGCGGTGACTACTTACACTTTCTCTGTGATCATCTTTCTCCACGAGCATGCCACCAGCTCAGTGTCCATCGTGCGGAAAAGAATTCAAGGATCATAGTTCCGTTGCTCGTCATATGAGCCAACCGCGGTCTGGATGCAATACATGGTTAGAAGAACTAATTCAGCTTAACACCACGCTCCCACCTACTAGTGAAGACCCAGATGTTCCTATGGCAGCGGGTGACATCGACGAATCTTATGATTTCTACCATGAACAAGGCCAAAATTGGGGCAAAGACTGAGGCTGAAGTAACTGACTATTTTCCTGAACCCCCGCTAGCCTTTGAGGAGGGCTACACATTTTTGAGCTTGTTTGATGCCGATGAAAACAGCATCTATCGCAAAACAAACCTGTATTATCCGTTTACCAGCCAGAAGGAATGGGAGATGGCAGCATGGCTTCTGCGTTCAGGCCTGAGCATGGGCAAGATAGATTCTTTCCTGTCACTGGAGATGGTGAGTTTATTATCTTCAGACACATTATAACTGTTTGATTCAGGGAGCATTTAGATCAACGATTTACCTCTATCATTCCACTCAGCCAAAGAGTTGCGAGGTCGGGCTGAAACGCTACCGGGGGGTCCACGTTGGAAGTCACAGGTGATCCGTACATCCCATTCCACGAAGACACCGGTTGTCCTCTACTGGCAGGATCCGCTCGATTGTATCGCTAGTATTTTCAACCATCCCTTATTTCACAACCGTTTGGACCTCACCTCTCGCAAAGTGTATCCCACGGCGCAGAGACTGTCTCGGGTATATACTGAGTGGATGACAGGCGAACATGCTTGGAACATGCAGGTCCGTATTACGTCCCTCTCAAAGTCATCACCTCATTGTTCTCAAAGTCGGCGCTACCTTGTGGTGCAACTCTGCTTGGTATCATTCTATCCTCGGACAAGACCTGTATCACTGCATTGACAGGCGATCGTGTTGCCCATCCGCTACTTATCAGCCTCGCCAATATCCACATGAATACATGATTGAAATCATCCTCGAATGCTTTCCTCCTCACTGCCCTTCTACCAGTCCTGAAATTCGTGCATAAGAAGAAATGGATGAGGGGTGTATTACAGGATTGGCTCGTCCATCAGTGCTTGGATGTCGTACTAGAACCACTGAAGTCGGCTGCTCGACAGGGTGTCATGTTGTCAGATCCGATTGGACGCAGCCATTATTGCTTCACACCACTTGCTAGCTACATCGCCGATACCCTGGAAGCGATGATGCTGGCATGCGTCGGTGGAAAGATGTCTCCAGTGACCATGGCTATGTACAAACAGTTCAGGGATGCCTTTCGACATGAACCCCGGACAAAATCAACAACTCTTGCACAACTGGATGTTGTGCGCTCACGCGCTGATCCACATAACCTCGAAGCATTCTTCTGTGAGTCACAGAAGTTCTGTCTGAATGGCGTCGAGAAACCATTCTGGAGTGACTGGCCATTAGCCAAACCCTCCAATTTCTTTACTCCTGAATCACTGCACCATCTTCACAAGCAGTTTTATGACCATGACACCCAATGGATTACGGTTGCTGTGGGAGATTCCGAGTTAGATTTTCAGTTTTCAGTTTTACAGCCTACTACTGGTTACCGGCATTTTCATGGAGGCATATTGAAGCTAAAACAAGTTACCGGTCGCTGCCATCGAGACATTCAGCGATCAATTATTGCACTCAGCGCGGATGCAATGTCTCCTGGTGTCATGGTTGCCATACGTGCACTCATGCACTTCCGTTATCTTGTGCAGTCACTGCACATCAATGACAACGATCTTGCCCGCATCTCGGCTGCATTGGACGAGTTCCATGCGAACAAGCATGAGATCATCACTGCTGGGGTTTGCCAGGGAAAAGGCAGTACACCCATCAACAACTGGCACATACCTAAGCTTGAGCTAATGCAGAGCATCATTCCTAGCATCTCTAACTCTGGTGTGATAGGACAGTGGTCCGCTGATGCCACCGAACACGCGCACATCACGGAGATCAAAGACCCTGCAAGATCGACCAATAACAATAACTACGATTCGCAGATATGTTGATATCTTGACCGTGCTGACAAGTGTAATAGGTTTGATCTTGCTACCGGTCTTTTGGATGGCAAGTTGAGCATTGAGGATTTGGAGGTTGTCCGAGAAGACCATGATAATGACTTGGATGACGTGGACGTGGACGCAGACATTGTCCTCGTGGAATTTCCATCCAAGACTCGACAACCTGGTCAGCTGCATCCTGTCATGGACTATTTCCAGATCGCAAAAGAACTACTGCACAAGGAAGTGGGATCAATACCCGTCCCATTACGCTCTTTCGTTGTTGGGTGCACTGCCCTCCATATCCTGTATGATCCTTCTATCAGGAGTATCAAAGTCGATGAAGCTGCCACCATGTTCAACTTACCAGACCTTCGACCAGCTCTCACTGATTTTCTTCACCGTGAGGTGACATCTGGATGTTGTGTTCATGCAATTGGTGGTCCGAGAAGAGCTGGACCTAATGCTGAACTTCCATTCGACAAGCTTCAAGTGTGGTTCAAAATTTGTTTACAAGAAACGGACTTTCACCATGCTCACAACATTCACCCAGCTCAGACGTTAAACTGTGCACCACCTAGTGGCCTCTGGACTTTGGGCCATTATGACACGGTCATTATCCAGACCAACGCAGAGCATTCGTGGCCTACTAGTGGTCTCTCAGGTGCGCTCCTCTCTCTCGTTGCGATAGCTATGTACTAAAGAATGAGCTCTCCAGGTCACTGCATAGCCCAAATCAGACTTCTCATATGGCCTATTGGCCAATGTGGCAAGCTATGGCCATGGGAAGATCAGTTCATCGTTTATGTCCAACGATTTGACATTTCTAGCGAATGTGATCCAAATACTCAGCTGCATGTTCTGAAAAGATCGAAGCGCTCTAATGGCACTCAGATGGGGGATATCATTCCGGTGAAGGTACAACAATTCAGATGGTGAGTCTGAACAATGTTGGGTCTTGCAGAACCTAGCTGCTATTCGACCCTAAAGGGTTTCTGGACCAGGCTCAAGGCTCAGAGAAGAGGAAATATGATAGAAACTTGCTGAATACTCAGACTCATAGTAGAACTGGTGAAAAGGTAACTTGATTATGTAAGCTACAAAAGTGCAAACATAACACTAAGGTAAAAACAGTCTCTGTAAGCCCAGCCAGAAATGAATCCCTACACCAGTATCTCAGCTGAGAGCACCTGTCCATCTTGTCCCTAGATTCGGCGCCACTGCGGACATGCGTTTCACTGCCTACAATAGCATGGAACATGCAACAGAGTTTTGGCTAAACCATTTTTGGGACAAAAACACTTTTTTTGCACTGTCAGTTTAATATTTCGCTGAGTTCATACCTGATAAGCAACACTTTCATAGCCTAAAAGCATGAGTACCATGTAGAAGGTAGATGGTAGTACCTGTGATAGTAAAATGGCATCTTTGTTCTCTCTACTAGTAGCGCGCAGCCATGGCCCCACATTTAGAACACGGTAAAACCATAGACTACGGGATGAAGCTCGCATCGCTGATGTCGGCCCCCATTGTCAATGATGTACCAACACTGGACAAACTCACTGCTCTCGAGCTCAATCACTTAATCTTGCATGAATCGCCGTCACAGCAAAATGACAATACTACAGACTTGCCGGAGCTCAGCTATATGCTGTCGCAAATTTTTAAATCGTTCACCTTTGAACTCCCAGACGTGACAGAGCTACAGGTCCCATTACAAAAAATTCGCTATCAGGATGACAGACTTCACAGAAAGTTTGCCACAACAGGCGAAAATAACCTGATTTACCTATATGACAAAGATCAGTGCCAATGGAACTGGCCACTCCCAAAATCACACCATGATCAGGTCAAGCAATGGTTGCTCACCAGTGATGGCAGTCTTGGAGATGGGAAGGAGCAGGACACCATGCCAGCAAGCATGGAGTCTGGAAGTGGACTTGGAGGTAGCCTGCCAGTGAGTGACAGCTTGCCCTTGGAAGAAGAAGAAGAAGAAGAGTCTGCACCATCGCCCCCATTCGAGGGAGTCTTCATGATGTTCTTCAATGTTATACGTTTTGCGCTCGCCCAGAAGGTGCCAAAGATTATCCAGGAAACCAATCCTGTGCCACGCCTATGGAGTGCGGGCAATGCTACACGCCCTGTGAAAGATGAAGAAGTCGCGCAAAAGCCTGACCTTGTGTTGTTGGACGATGTAGAAGCTTGATGGGATACTATCAAGGCGGTTTGTAAGCTGACATCGCAACCATACTCAGCTACTGGGACAATAGGAAATACATTGGATAACAAAGCATACCTTCTCTTTAGACGCCAGCCTTGGAGATGGTTCATTCTATTTATGTCCATAACCAAAGGGTATCGCGAGCTTCGAGTCCATATGTACGACCACTCAGGTGCCGTTGTGACGCCTCCCATCAATATCGACACTCACCCAAATGATTACTTGCACGTCTTTTCATGCCTTGTTTTCGGTAAACTGGAGTGCCTGGGGTATGATCCCTTGATCACCATCTTTATGAAGACACTTCGAGCTGTCCAACTCGAAAATGGATCAACTTTCCTTCGGCCCAGTATAAACAAGTCACCCGCACCAGATATGATGGAAGGTGTCATTGAGGGCACCTCCCACTCTCTCCACCAAACAGAAGACGTCCTTGAAAGCACCCCCCCCCTCCCCCTGCCCCAGATTGATCCCGCGCTCTACCTTCCTCAGCAAGATCTCCCCGATGATCCTCGTCCCATGTGTCAGCTAGATATCCCCAATGATCCTCTTTGTGCTCCCCTTCCTACTAAGCCAATTGGCCGAATCCTGGTCAACGACCACACGTACGACATCCTTGAAATGATATTTTCTAGTCAAGGACTCGTTGGTCATGGTACCATTTGCTATCTGGTGTGGAGGGACAATGAAGAGTATATTATTAAAGATCATTGGGTTCTTGAGAGTAAAGAGGATGTCCTGAATGAGGTCAGCATGCTGCAGGTGATGCAAGACGTCCGTGGTGTCCCACAACTCATTGAACATTGGCTTGTCGAGATCAGGCCTGGGGAGGTCGATGAAACGAAGCTTTATCGCTATAAGCTGTTGAAAAGTATTTGAAATGTTGTCCGTACGCATGTTCATTTGGTGTTGAAGCCTCGTGCACAACCTTTACACATGTTCCGGACGAAAGCAGAGTTACTGGGGGCTATTCGGGATATCATCAAAAGTATGTACATATTCAATACCCTCTGTCTTTAACTGACCCGATTTTTCAGTTCAAAAGATAGCAGTAGAAGAGAAGGGCATTCTTCATCGCAATTGTAGTCTAAATAACTCAATGATTGAGGATGACGGTGAAGGACCGCACGGAACTTTAATTGATTGGGAGTTCGCCGTGTATATTGACCAAGGTCAAAAATATGCTAGAGGCGGGACGGTGAGCTCTACTTTCTTAAGCATGTATTCAAGTATTGACAACAACAATTAGGGCACAATACCTTTCATGTCGCGGTCACTCCTGTTCCAGCTCTCCAAGGCTGTTAGTGGTATTGCAATGCCTGATTGCAGCTTCAAGCATGCCTCAAATTCGCATGCAATTCCAGCTTGTCTCATCATACACCGCTATGAAGATGATCTTGAATCAGTCTTCTATGTCTTCATATGGATCTGTATTGGATACAGGGGTCCCCTCGGCGTTAAGCGTGTGCTTGATAAAAGCCACGATTGGCTACTTCATAAATGGTCCGCCACCGCATTCAAGGACTGCAACAACGAGAAGACTACATTCTTCTACCATCCGCACGCGCACAAGTTCGAGGAGCAATTCCACCCCTATTTCAAAAACCTGGTCCTGCTTGCGGTGGAATGGTACGAGTTGATCAGGAGTAAAGGGCCGTCACATGCAATAACTTTCCAGGAGGTGCTTGATTTGTTGGATAAGCACCTCGCCAAACTTCCGAAGGAGCTTTCTCCTGAGATTCTGTTCACATGGAAGGTTCTCAAGGGACTCCCAACGCCTGAGCTTCCTGTTGCTACTACAGGTCCTGCAGCCAGTGGCGAAAGTTCAAAGCAAAAGCTTACAGACATGACTGGCAGCAATGATGTACTAGTAGACCAACCCGGACTGATCGCAGTTCGGGATGTAACACATGGGGGTCAGATCTGGACGATGGAACCTAATATACCGCAGCCTAAGCACAACAGAACTACTTAATGTAGAATATATATTCTCACTCGTAGACTGTAGTATGTACAAGGCGCGCGATAATTTACAATTTCTTCATTTGGGTTTCATAATGACTATAGTACTATACATTACTAATCCAATTATAGTATGGCCAGCCGACTTGATTCCCACCTCAGGTCTAAACTCTTATTCAAACCAACACACATCTAACGAAGTAACCCGGAACTTGGAGGAGAAAGGACGTATGAAGTACGCAAAGGAAAGTAATTTTCTCACTGCTTATTACTCACCGTCGTACACAAGGACTTTAGCTTGTTTTATTTTCTCCTCCCTCCCGGATCACATCGAGGGACAGAAGGATGCATTCATTATCTCATGTCTGCTCTTGGCAGCCAGGACTTAAAAAGGTGAGTCTTCGTGTATTGCACTTTGGGGCCCAATTCGTGTTCAACAGTCATGCCTGATAGCCCGAAGAAAAAGCGGGCCAAGCGCAAAGCTGTCGAAAATGACCTCAAGGCCCTCAAGCCAAAGAGATCGCGGGCTCAGCATGAGGTACCTTCGGTGATGGCTCCCGACATGGATGACTCTCAACATCCTCGACGTTCAGGACATCCAGGCATGGGGAAGGGAGGCAGGAATGCTCAACTAGAGCGATTAGATGCCATCTTGGATGCTCCAGCACAGGCTAGCCAGCCTAAGGGCTCTAACTCTTTTGATTTGACTGTTCCTGTAAACCCTGTTGCTCCAGAACCGCCCCGCAAGGGTTGCGGAAGTCATTCAAAGGTAGATTTCTTTAATTGTAGGTAACTGCACTAATCATCCAGCAGAAAAAGCAGCCCCCTCCCCCATATCACATCTCAGAGCAACCGATTCCCAATGCCACAACTCCCAATGCTACAACTCCCAACACTACGATTCCAAATGCCAAGATTCCCAGAGCGCAGCCGAAAGCAAAGGTGAGTTTTTGGCATGGCCTATTACTGTTTAATTTGACATTTTACAGGCCATTGTTCCTCCTCATCCTAGCATGGAGACAGTGAAGAGTCAGCCCGCTTTCATACAATGCGAAGATGGCGGACGGTTTGGATTTTCTCCACCCATTGTCCCCCCTGGCACGGAACCTGACCTTCAGGCCTTGAACAACTCATTTGTGGCTGCAGCTAAAGTGAAGCACGTTTTGTCCACTTCCAATGCTTCCCAAAGTCAGCTTCCTGGTATTGTTCCTGATGCTTCTGGCAGTCATCTTATTAGTGGTGAAGATTCATCGCAGACGGCACTCTTGAGGACGACGACTCCAATCACTGCGGCAGGCATCCACTTTTACCAGAGTTTGGACCCTGCCCTCCGGCCGACTGGATCACAAAGTACAGAATCTGAAAGTTCTAACATTAGTGAGGGTGAGAGTTCATCTGACAAAGATAGCGAAGACCAGCAAATCGGTTGGGGGGCGGTCGGTGGGCGTCATAGCACACACCCTGGTAAGTTCTTGCCATTGCCATTTGTGGCCTCACTGACAAGTGCTAGGTTTTTCTGGGGAAGAGCGACCATCCCAACCTCAGGTGGTGTCCGCTCTTCCACCAGATTTTGAATTTCAATATTCGCATGATGAAGATGACCAAGTGGCTGAGAAAAATTTGGCAGTCAACAGCTACTCGAGCGATAGTACAGATGTCAGAAGTATTCCTGAGGTATAAGCCCGGCAGTTAATTGGAGCACGCTAATTTTTCTTTTCTTTTCAAGCCAGATGATGTCTTAAAGTTTTATCATGAGAAGAATGGTCGTCCCCAGATGCCTGATCCTGAACTCTTAGACCTTCTCCGAGTTGCTGAGACAACCACCACCGACTCAAAGGTAAACTTACAGGCAGCTAAAGCTTCAGTAAAGTCCAAGGAGGTTGAGGGGCCTAATGCCACCCAACTGGGCTGGTATGGTCCTCGCTGGAAAAGTTTCCTCGAGAATGCCAAGGGGGAGTGTCGTGCGCAGCAAGCATTGGAAAACCCTTTCCCGAAGCTGGTTGAGGATCTGCTGATATCTATCACGGAATCTCTTTCAGCGTCCCTCATGAGCTGGCTCAAAATGGTGGACAAATCGAACCCGGTATGTTGTCATTTTCTTTGAGATATTATGCTAACTCAGGGCATTTACCAGATGTGTGGCCCGCTCACAAGGCTGACATGGTGAGACTGGTGCGTATCTCTCTCATTATGTGCCTAATTCTTATGTCTTTTCTAGCTGTATGATGATTTGGCAACATGGTGTTCCAACCTCAAAAAGATCGCCATTGCCATCGCACCTTCTGCATACAACCTTGTTCCCCCAGCCACCATCCCCGTTCAAGAGCATGCAGCCTGGATTGAAGAGGCCGCTACAAATTTACTAGAAAATTCCATGTTTCTTCATAACGGAGTGGATGAGTTGGGGAAGACCAGGAACTTTGCTCATCCTGGGCTTCGCGAGGTCACTATACTTTTCCTCTACACTGGATCCTATCGCATTGCTCGTAGGTGGCCCGATATATTTAAGAAGGAGATACCATTGACTTGCTTAGCTCTCGTCTGCACAGTAGTATTTTCCTTGATGTTGGTGTGCTGCTGATGTGCTGACGCTTTTTTTTCAGTTCAATTGCATCTTCAATGGCCTGGTGAAAAACGGAAACAGAAAATCTTTCCCAAAGTTCATTGCCAAGGAGTACGAACCCATTTACAAAACAATGCTTGAGCTTCTCCGAACCGTCATGGAAGACCCTTATCACGGTCCCAGGCTGGTGCAGCAACTTCGTGCATGGGCTGAAGCTGGATGGTGAGTCTTGGGACCCTTTCTACAATGTTCCACACTGACAAATTTCTCAAAGGGAAGAGTCCTGTAAGCTCGACGGCATTGACCCATCAAAGCGTTGACATCTGTGCATCCAGCTTGATTGAGCATTGTAGTTACTGTGCATACTATCATCGTATATCTTTTTTTTCCATTTTTTTCGTCGTTGTTTAGTCATGTTTTGCATCATGTGATTCAATATATTGTTGCCTGTGCCTATTCTTAGACAGAGGTTCAATAAACAGTACAGAAAAGTTGTTTCGGTAACAATCTGTGAGTGTCTGTACAAATACATGCAGATCAAAATGATACTATTGAAGTATGTACTGGTGGGTCTGTGAGTGTGTGTACAGATATTGACAAAGAAAGTGCTGCTGTAGTGAGCTAGGTAGTAGGGACTAAGCTGTATATCTGGAATGCTGTCTAGTTCTGTGTGGGTCTGTCCAAGGTGCGGGAATTTACTGATGATTGTCATCAAGTCCTTTCCACTGAAATCAGAATCTGCGGCAGTCATCTGAGAGAGCATGAGGTCGGCGGTGGTCAGCGTAGTCTGGAGGTCGGCGACATATCTTGTGAATAAGTCATAGCATCCGAATCATGACTGACATAAATATGGTGAGCAACATGCCAAGCACATGTATGAATAGATCACAATCTATCTAGACACAGGTCAAGAAGATATGCAGTAACCTATATGCCAACAGTCTGACAGACTGATGGGTACTTAGCGGCTTTCTCCTCTCTTGACACGCTGAACATCGGAGTCAACACCAGGACCTGAACCGTAAAGCTCAACCACTTATACCTCAGACAGCAGATAGCTCTCAAAAACATATCACGATGACAATGGAAGTTGACGGGTCAGTATTGGCGCCACCACAAATATTTGCCAAGGAAGATTTTGGAATGGGACATGGCTTATCAGGGATCAAATCAATGGGAGGAATTGACATGTGGAGTGACTGCAAACACCACAGGCGAGTTTAACAAGATCCGGAGTTCCATTGGTTGAAGCAGCTTCGATCAATGAAACTGCTTGTGATGCTGCAATGTTGCTGAACGACTGTCTTTGAAGTATGCAACTACTCACTCATGATCTGCACCCAATGATGATCTCGAGTCCACATTTTCCTCGCCAAGTCACAATTGCTGCATACATATCAACCACCACAGTAAGATCTGAGATGTCGTCCTGGCAGATATCATGATCATCAGAGTAGGCAGTAGCCCTGCTCAGTAATGATTTTATTTGGCCATTTCACATATTTCATGCAAGAGATGTCAGTGCTTCAGCGCAGCCAACAAACAAATTTGTAAACGCAGTTGAGTGAAGATCGAAAGAGCCACTGAAAATGCTGAGTCTTGACTGGGACCCCATAGAAAACGACCAAAAAAATCACAGACACATTATAGTACTAGTACATCGTGTGAAGAGAAACTTTGTTTCGTTTTGTGATTGTCCATGTTTGAGCTCTTCCCACCTTACTCGTATGTTGGCCTTGATCCAGGTATCTGAGCTTGTGGCATCTACAAAGACTGTGTCTGTATGAAATCAACATGTCAGATAAAGAATTGGCAGCAGCATGAGCAGCTTACCGTACGTTGGTGGAGGGCCCGCATCCCTAGTCTGAGAACCTGCAGTGGCCCACTACTGGACTTGCCAGACTGCGGTAAGGTTGCAAAGATAAAATGTCGGAGATGCAAGAGCAGCACGCGATAGTAGGGGAGAAGCAGACAAGAATAATAGCTGTGGTCCGAAAGCGGAGAGTGAGAGGGTCACTACTGATGGTCAGGATGCCCAAAGGTCTAATTAGTTTAAATCAGGGGAGACAAGACGACATTCAACATGAGAGATATTCAAAATTCAGGAGCGACGCATGGGGTGAGAGAACAAAGGGAAGGATGGACATGTTACACCTGAACATTGGCATCCGCACTAGCTTCCAAGCCGCGCTTTGTGTATCGCCTCAAGTCCAGAGCTGAACAGCTCATTCCAGTGATAAAACATGTCACCCATCGCAGCTTGGGAAATGTGAGGTCATTCAGATCCAGCGATGCAGGAATATCTTCCTTGGGCTTCATAAACCAAGTGGATGGGTAAGGTGCGGTGGCGGACTGTCGAGCAACTTTGCCTCCAAGATCGCAACACGCCTTGGGTTTGTAGCTATGTAGGTGCTTGCGGTGACGCGTCAAGCTTGCTGGATCGGTAGTGGCAAGTGCACACCCAGGGTAGGGGCACATCTTCGAGCGTTCACGGGTGTGGGTGGGGTTAGTTTACGACCAATTACGGCAGTTTTCATCCTGGGACGAAAAATGCCATTGACATATCTCACGGTCAAGTCTTCATAGTATTACAATGTAGTTTCAAGTGCACACCCAGGGTGGGGGCACGTCTTCGAGCGTTCACAGGTGTGGGTCGTGATGTGCATCTGCACATTGGACTTTTGGAAGGTCTTGTAATTGCAGTCAGGGAATGGACATGTGCATACTGATCAAGATAGCAAATGGGTCAGAAACCATTTGGTACAATAGGGTACGAGTACGTACAGAACCTCCTTGTGTTCATCGTGCATATGCATGTGTCTAGGAAGATCAGCCTTGCGGCTTATGGTCTTGTGGCAGACATGGCAGTCAACGGTTGTCTGTAGAGAAAGTGTCATCAGTACAAGACACATGATGCGAGGTAGGCTGGTAACGTACCATGTTGCGTCCTGCAGCAGGCATCTTGTGATAATGTTTGGGAGGAGAGAAGCGGTTGTTGTAAATGATCTGCGGGGTAAAATTAAACCCCTGAGGTGAATGAATAGCGATTGCGTCGTAGCAAATTCACACATCCTGCATGTTTCTTTTGAAGCACCAGGTGTGCTATGGACATTGAGTACAATTGCTTTTCTGTGGCGCACATATTTGCCTTTAAAGGCAAAAAGCGCAACGTTGCAAAGAGAAAATGTTTGAGACGCGAGAGCAGCACACAATACTAGGGGAAAAGCAGACGAGAATGATAGCAGCGTCGAGGCAGGAATAAGGTCGGGTAGTTGGAGACTGGAAAGGGAGTAAAAAACATGGACATACAAGCACCCACCTGAGGCAGGCGCAAGTAGAACCAGAGCTGCCTCCACCTGAGGCAGAAGTGATCAACTGTGGGTAGAGAGGAGAGATATGGGGCGAGTATCAAAGAGCAAGTTCGATGGTTTGGGTAACCAGAGGACTCGCACCAGTTCTGAGTTAGGTTACAGAAATTGGTGGGTCTCAGACTGGCTCTTCACTGTCTCGCATACCCAGGTTTGTGCACATGGCAGTAGCTCTGGGGCCAGCACTAGACATGGAGAAAGTGATTTGGAGTTGGGATGGGCAGTTAGTCAATGCAGTAAAATTTGCTCAGGGCTGGCCATTGTTTGCCTTGTATGTAAGCTGACTAATTAGCGGTGTCTATGTGACCAAAGCCCGAAGGCCGAGCGAAGTGGGTAGAGTCGGCAGAGGATTTAAGAGATGGGAACATGTTTGAGTTCGACAAGAGCCCTCCTCCACTAACATGGGAGTCGGGGAACTCTCTTTGGTGCACCGGAGGGCAAAAAGGTTAGGTGGAGCCTTTGACAGACTGCCCGCAGGGCAGGTCATGTGATCGTGTTCTTTGGTTTATCATGCTTTGTTCTGTAACTCATCCCACTGTATTGCTAGTTATACATCTTCTCTTTTTGCCTGGGCTGGCCAGGGCGTCCGAAGTTGCTTCGAACCCTGAGCTGATCCCAGTGTAAATGCAGACCTGGCCAGGGCGTCCAGAGTTGCTTTGAACCCTGAACTGGCAAAGCAGTTTAAGTGCTTTTTTCTTTTTTGTGATTCGCAGTCTTTCCCATCAGCTCTGTTGTCATCCTGTAATGTGTAAGGATACTATATCCCCTGCACTCTGACTAAACCTTCAAATGAATGCTAACGCAGTCTGTGTGTCTCATCGATGTGAAGAGCTTCGCTCTTCATATCCGAGACATGCGGATACATTCTTTCATCTTTTATGTTCGTTTGCTACACATTGTACCATGTATTGAGTCACTCAGCTATCCCTTTCACGCTCGTATGTATATAAACCATCTGTATTCATGTACTCGTCGTCGAATTAACAGAGTTCCTCCAAACATCGCAAAAGTTCAAACATCTTTGTCTCGTCTCGTTCCATACATTGGACCCCTTCCGAACTCAAACACCAGCCTTACAAATGGCACCGCTTCCCTGTGCTCTGCGCAAACCTGTCTTTGGAAACGGCAGCCCCAAGCTATCGCCACACTCCCAGCCATCCTCACTACTGTGCATCGCAGCCTCAGCCCTCGGATCGAACTGTTGTGCAGATCCATGGGACTGTGTTCGGGGAGAGGATGTTGCGCCAGTCAATGTGCTCCTGGCACACAGGATCCAGGTACAATTAATTGAACATGGATGGTTATTGGCAACTGATGGCATCTCAGAGGTGCCTGGTGATCATGACACATCATTCCTTCTTTCGCGCAGCAGAGTCATCCCGATCTATACACTCCAATGCAGTCCTAAACCTCCACAGTCTATCATTTGACATGCTCTCGCCTCAACAAACTACACTCTGCTTATGCAGGTTCAATGTCCTCATCACTAAATGGACTTCCAAGTCATATTGATGCCACAACACCCCTTCGGTTATTCTCAAATGGAAGCTCGAGCTCGGCACCTTCCACATCACACATTGAACACATAACTTGCCCAACATGTGGGAAGGCTATTACCGACACCTTGATGATGAGCCGAATTAATAACAGTTTCGATGGTTCACCTAGCAGATCTCCTCTCATTGTCCCTTGAAGTTGAGGCTTTCGTCGATGGAGAGCGTTTTCTTTCTCATCATTGTGTCTCACCCTATACACCTCCTGTCTACATCGATCTGTTCCTTGCCTTCTTCGAATCGTCACTAGCCTCACTCGTCTCATAACCTTCTTGAATCAGTTTCTTGCTCCCTTTTGTTCTCAATCCCCTTCAAACTCATACTCAGTGTTACGCTGACCGTCGGTCGGCGTGTGCGAACTAGGATAGGTCTTCTCAGCGACGACTCGAGTGAGTCTACTGAAGCTGAGGGTGGTTCTAGCCTTGACGGAACGTCAAGGATTCCTCCGGCGATCTCGGTAAGGCAGCGCTCATTGAGATGCAGGGCTAGCGGATACATGCTAAGTCGTAAGGGGGTGACTTAGAAGTGCGGTCTCACACAAGGAAGCTGGTAGGCTTAGATGAGCAAGTTCTGGGGATGAACCTAGTAGATTAAAGTAAAGTCTAAGTACAATAATCTGTGTCTACTTATAGGGAAGTACTACAAGTACTCTAGCTCAGTCTGTAATCAATAGTATATCGTGAATCTATGATAGCCAGACATGAGGTTCAGATAAGATACATGAGGCTTAACCTCTGATCAAGCATGCTGCGCCAAGGGCAGCTGCGCATAGGTACAGGAAGCGCAGGAGGCGCTCTGGATCTTCATGAAGCGACATGCGGTATGCATGCGCTGATCTAGGGTGACCATGAGGCGTACATCCTTCATGGATCAGGTACAAGGCCATCTAGGCCGGGGGCGGGTCATGGCGCCAGGGGCGGGGTCACAGCGGTCCAGACCACTGTCTTTCTAGGCGCGGGCGGCGCACTGCCGCGCGGGGAGTCTAGCAGAGCGGGGGCAGGTGTAGGCAGAGCTGGGGCTCTTGTAGATGTTACAGATGCCTGTAACACTCAGCCTTACAAATAACATTTCTTACGAAATAAGTTTCCTCCTTTGTTCCCACCACCTCTCTGTTACCTCGTCCAGTTCCAATAAATGCCTGTCTTCCAGCCTGAGGTACTTGTTAGGATGAGTGGTGACAAACTTTTTATCGAAGTCTCAAAGAAGACAGATGTTTTCTCCTCCATGCCCTCGCAACAACACAACATACACATTAAATGGTGTAAGTTCTCCACTTGGTGGTTGTGCGCTATCAACAATTGTGTTACTGATTGTTTGACCTTGCGATCGGTAGTCCGTAAATGCATATGCTGGTGTTAATGGCAGTTGCATCCGTGTCACAACTTCTTCGCAGCCTCCAATCATAATATGAAATGTCCGTTGCATGGGGACCATGTTGGAATTAGCCAAGTGTGCGCTGCATCCAGCGACGACAGAACAATGTGTGCTCTTGTTTCTCTTGTTGACTCGTACTTTACATTGTTTGCTCTTATGATATCTTTCTTCTATTGTACCTACTGAATCTATTGTCTGCTATGGCCAGCGCCATTTCTCTTTGTTCTTAGTCTCACCTACTTACAAGAGTGTTGCATCTATTTAGCTGCCTTGTATTCGAGCCGTTACCTCAGATGTTTGCCTTCACGTGCATGATCTGAGGTAAGATACCTAACTTATACTTATATTCACCCTTACTTACTTGGAGCAGAGTATCTGTGTGTTACAGGTGAATATACAGATGTTTGCCTTTGCGTGCATGATCTGAGAGTATCTGTGTGTTACAGATCCACGCAAGAACAACTTGTTTTATTCTAATAGGTTATGAGCCCTGAGCTTTGAAGAACCTCAGAAAACCATCTCACCCCTGCTAAACGCTGCTTTTCGCGATGTCCACTGCTGTTCCCGTCACAACGGACACCCTCCCGTCGAACGTACCCAAACTAGATGTACAAACTGGGCCATTTTCTCGTTGCGTTTCCAAGTCGCTGTTGAGGCCAAAGAGTTATGGAAGTATTTTGACAGTTCTTGCCCCCATCTTGCTTCGCCCATAACTGCTGCAGAAACTGTTACTGCTGAAAAATGGCAAAAGAACGAGAACCTTGCAAAGCACCTACTCACACAATGGATCCCCGATTCCACGGCTCTTTGCATTCGTACCCTTGCCAATGTTGCGACCATGTGGGCTGAGATCATTCGTGAGTACACAGAAAAAGGCGCATATGTGCAAATGGACCTTTGTACCAAGTTCCTTGAATCAAAATGTACTGTCGGAAGTGATGTGCGTCAGTTCCTGGATGAACTACGTGCAAAACGAGACAAACTATCTGCAGTCGGCGTCAACATTGAGGAAAAAGATTACTGTCCTACCATTATTCAATCACTTCCAAACCATCTCGCCATCTTTGCGTCTGGGCAACTCGCAACTGCCTGACTCTACAGCACCACCAAAACAATCGACCCCAACATCCTCATTTCTCTTATTATCAAGGAATCTGAAAGGTGGAACAGTCGAGATGGTCGATCCACTCGCAACCACGGAAATGCTAGGTCAAATAGTGGCAATGAAGCCATGGCTGCTGTAGATGCGTCCCCACATGGACGGGGTGGTGGGCATTTCAGAGGCCGTGGATCCCATGCAAATAGGCAGGGAAGGCCGCGACCTCCATGCTGGAACTGCGGGTCTCATGAGCACTTCAAGCTCCAATGCCCCCACCCAGACAAATCGGCAGAATGCACCACCAGTAACTCTGCTGCAAGAGGATCAGCTCATGCCACTGCAGAAGTGGACTCAGAAGATGAAGGAGTATTCTCCCTCGACACTGTCAACGAGTCAGATGATGACATCCCTGACCTCCTCACATTGTCCTCTGACGACGATACTGTCAAATGTGACACTTTCGCCGATAGTGACACAGATTGGTTCTCCGAGGTTGATGGAGACGACCTGTCATGCCCAGACAGTGACTGGGGCACGGAAGAAGCTATTCCTGAGATGTTCAGTGTCGAAACTCACAATGAAACAGCTGCATATGTCAGCCAAACCGCAGTCGACGTACCATCCATCAAGTTGTACGACTCCGGATCCACCCGCCACATATCGCCCTACCATGACCAGTTTGAAACTCTCTTCGACATTTCACCCAAACATTTTGCCGCTGCAAATAAGCAACACTTCAGCGCAACTGGTATCGGAGAATTAGTCATCAAGGTACCGATGTAGGACTTGGAGTCCTTGTAGCCTCGTAGAGGCTATTTTTGTGGTATCCCTCAGCACCCTATTACTTTCCTACACGAAGCGCTACTTTCCCACGATGGCCGCAACATTCCCCCGCGCGCGCACAGCCGCGCTTAGCGGCCGCTTTTCTCGCACTTCATCGGCCGACATTCCGCACCCATCCATAGTCCAAAACCAACCCAATGGTACATTGTTTCATAATTATATTTACATATCAGACCATTTTCGCATCGGACCACCTTTATTACATATAGCTTTACATACATAGCTCAGTAGCATGTTGGCTCGGTAGCACATCGGCTCAGTTCCGCGTGACAGCGCTTAGCGCTATACTTAAGCACTAGCAGTACATACCATTCAGTAGCTTGTTTTCCGGATGTTCCAGTAGCAACTCCCATTAGCCTACAGTTAGTAGCTATTGGTAATCAGTATCCATTTACCGCTCGCATCGTATCAGTTATCAACTTGCTCTACATCTATTTCTATTGTCCTTCATCTCTATTATCATCCAAAACCCTCGCACATTGGCCGCTTCGCAGCCGTGTCTTTCCCGCGCCTTCGGCCGCCGCTACATTCCCACGCTACGCGCGCGCACCCGACGCTTTCCTGCGCTTCGCATCGGCCGACAAGCGGCGCCTTCTGCATCCATTTCTAGACCTTTGCTGCACTAGCTTCCCCTTTAGGGTCGAATGCACTTGTTTCGCAAGTATAGCAGATAGGCAGTGCACGACCTACAACATAAAGATATCAGTTTGGAGCCCATAGCACCACTCTGAGTTGTAAACCTACACTGAATGGTGTGGATACCACGAAACTTAGACTAACTGAAGTACTCTACTCGCCCGAAGTGGGTTACACTCTGGTATCAATTGGCCGCCTTGATGAACTCGGTTACTCAACAACTTTCACTGATGAAATTTGCACCATCCGTGATCTGACAGAGAATGTCATAGGGCAGATCCCTAGATCTGACCATGGGCTATATCATGTAGTCCATCCACTAAGTCCAGAAAGTGCGAATTCTGCAATAGAAACCATCACCATCATGGAGCTTCATCGACGGATGGGACACATCTCACCTGTTGTGGCATGGCACCTGGCAGAAAAAGGCATGGTCACAGGTATCAAGGTAGACTTGTCCTCCGGTGAGCTGACTTTCTGTGAATCCTGCGTTTACGCAAAGGCCACACGCAAACCTATCATCAAAGTACATGAGGGGGAGTGCTCCAAGGACTTCGCAGGGGAGGTCCACACCAACTTGTGGGGACCAGCACCTGTTCCCACCATCGGTGGACGCCGTTACTATATCAGTTTCACAGACGACAAGACAAGGCTCACTTACCTGCACCTTTTATGCCAGAAAAGTGAAGCTTTCGGCGCATACAAGGACTTTGAGTCCTGGTGCAAGACCCAGAACAATGCCCACATGAAAGTTTTGCATTCGGATCGTGGAGGCGAATATCTGGGAAAGGTTTTCATTCAGCACCTCAAGTCAGCAGGTACTGAACAAAAACTTACTGTGCATGACACTCTGCAGCACAACGGAGTGGCTGAACATCTAAATTGTACCTTGCTGGAAAAGGTGCGCGCCATGTTACACAAGAGTGGCCTGCCACGTGTCCTCTGGGGAGAGGCCGTGCGTCATGCTGTATGGTTAAAGAACAGGACACCTACCAAAGCTCTTGACGGCGCTACACCCCTTGAAGCTGCCACAGGGAAGAAACCAGACCTGCACAATGTGCGCCCCTGGGGATCTAGAGTATGGGTGCATATTGAAGCTGGCACCAAGCTAGGTGGCCGCATTAAAGAAGGTCGCTGGATCGGAGTTGACGATGCTAGCGGTAACGGATGTAGAGTATACTGGCCCTCAAAATGTTCCGTAACCGTTGTAGGTGAGGAATGTAGAATGGTAAGAAGTGGGTGGTATGAAATATACTCAGATGGTCCTCTGTGCACGAATCTAATGTCGGCCCAAGGGGATTGCTACTGAGAAGGTTCCTCTATATATAATAGTGGAGGGAAACACTGAACCGGACTGTTGGATAAGCCTGGTGAGGCACGCGATGATGAGTGAAGCGCGATAAGTGAAAGCGCTACGGAGCGCTACTGAGCGACAAGTACAATGACGCGTGCTAAGTGAGAGCGAAGCGCGTGTGCGGGTGGTGGAGCGCAGCGACTTTTGAGTGAGTCGGGAGACAAGTAAGACGATGTTCGTATATATGAATATGAGGACTGGCGCTCGTGTCGGCTCTGGCGCTTAGTGTCGGTCGGCGGATACGACAGAGATTTAGACTTAGAGTCCAATGTTTGTGCGGGAAGAAGATGATGATCATTATACATAGAGGCATGAGTATATATATTCTAAGTAGCATTAAGCGCTGTCAAGCACTAAAGCGAGCCGGAAAGTGAAGCGAGTACGTGATGATATGTAAATAAGGGTCCGTGACGAAACATACGGAATTGTGTGCGCAAGCGCCGGAGATATGTCAGAATACATGAGAATAAGATAGGAATACGCACCGACAAACCGAACGGACGTGGAATGGATGGATGGAGGACAGGCGACGGAACCGAGGATACATGCGCCGATGCATGACCTAAGCGCCTGTATGCATGAGCGGCCGACGAAGCACCAAGGGCACAGAAATGAGATATGGTGTAGGACTTGGAGTCCTTGTGGCCTCGAAGAGGTCTATTTTCCGATGCATGTTGAATGCTAATTATTGCCCAAATCATTCCCTATCATATCCGACTCAATATGTACCAAACCCGAAAACATCGGACATCGGACATCGGACATCGGGTTTCGCATCGGGTTTCACATCAGCTGATCGGATATCGCGCACACTCATCCTACCTATGTCCAGTCTCATTGCGCTAGCCCCACTAGGTGCATAGTTACTTGTTTTCACATTGCTAACATTTGTCAACCGCGTTATTACATGTATTCCCATAGTCCGCAGTACATCATGTCTTATTACATAGGACATTGGACCCGAAATATTGCGCTACTACTTTCGCCTATAGGGTTCCGGATTTCTACGTATCTACTTAAATATTGGACTCCCCATAGCATCATCATCATCCGAGTAGAGGAGAATCGTCTCTGATGCTTAGGGGTCAAACCCAATATTTTGTAGTTCTTAGTTGACATTGTGAATATCATCGTTCCTTCACTGTCCATATCCATCATTGTTATTATTGCGCACATCGCTTGCTTTTCCGACGCTCGCTATAGTGTTACTATTAGTTTCTGATAACCTGAACCCGAACCCGATAACCCGAAATCCGAAAAACATCGGACCCGACGCTTTTGCATTGGACATCGTAATTATACCTTCGGACATTGTTTCCCGCACTCGGATTATTGACCTCACATTACCCACTGACCCCCAAAACTATTCCCAGACCGCAGACCCCTGGGTCAAATGCACTTGTCTGCAAGTATAGCAGATAGGCAGTGCAAGACCACAACATAAAGATATCAGTTTGGAGCCATCTTTGTATAGCCCCACTCTGTGTTGTATACCTACAACGGGTCGCGCTGTGTTTGGAAGGTGATTAGGGCGTTGTAGAATTAGCTCTCTATGAGGCCACAGAGATGTCAGTCTCTACACCATTGAACGGAACATCTACTGGGATCAATCTGATGTTGAGCCAGCATTTCGTGAGGGGGAGGAAGAAGATACTGCACCAAACGCAATGATACCCACTGCTCAACCCTCCATACCAGCAACAGCTCCTCAAACCCCAAAGACCATCCCTCCATCTAAGATCCCCGTCTATTCGAACTCACCGATACTTGAAATAACTGCAAAACGTGTCAGAAAACCCAGCCAGCGCATCCTTGATATAGTCAATGCAAACGGACCTATTCCTAAGGGCATCCAATTACCCGAAGAAGGAGCAAATTTCGCCAGCGAAGGAATGGCAGAGCAGTTGATAGAGATTCTTGAGGAAGACGATGACGTCGCCGAACTTTCCCTAGCGCTTGTCGAGTTTACCGCCGAAGCCGAGGCACTTGAACCAGCCAGCCTTGCAGAAGCTAAACAATGTCCAGATTGGTCACTGTGGGAAGGAGGTATCAGAGAAGAACTCACCACACTTGCAACAGCTGGGACCTGGGAACTAGTTGACCCTCCTGCAGGTGCCAATATAGTAGGGTCCAAGTGGGTCTTCAGAGCCAAGAAGGACGCCGCTGGCAACATCGTCCGGCACAAAGCCCATCTCGTCGCACAAGGATTCTCTCAAGTTCCCGGAGTCGACTATTTCGACACATACGCACCAGTTGCGAAGTTGGCGTCAATCAGAACAGTCCTGGCCCTAGCTGCACGACTCAACTTAGAGATACATCAAATCGACATCAAAGGTGCTTACCTAAATGGTGAGTTAACCAGAGATGAAATCATCTACATGTGGCAGCCACCAGGTTTTGCCTCACCTGAATTTCCTCATCGTGTTTGCTGTCTATGCAAAATGCTATACAGTCTTAAACAAAGCGGGAGATGCTGGTACCAGAAGTTAGTAGAGATCCTTGTGGAGAAGCTAGGATTCACACAGTGCGAGGTGGATCAAGCCATTTTCTTCAAGAAATTGAAGACTGGTGAGCAAATCATCATCATTGTCCACGTTGATGATTGTACTATTGCTGCATCGTCCCTGGACCTTATCACCCAGTTGAAGAATGAAATCCGTGGCCACGTTGAGATCACTGACCTTGGTGAGCTGCATTGGCTTCTCAGAATCGAAGTGACCCGAAACCGCGACCACCGCACCATTTCCCTTTCCCAGCTATCCTATATTGACTCTATTGTCCGTCGTTTTGGCCTTGAGGACCTCAAACCCATCTCCTGTCCTATGGAACCTCATGTCAAATTGCACTCAGATCAGTCACCATCTACTGGAGTCAAATACGCCGCCATGTGCCATGTCCCGTATCGTGAGGCAGTAGGCTCACTCATGTACACATCCCTTGGAAC